AAACATATTTTTTTTGCCTGCCTGAATATAGTAAAAAATTCAGACCCATCGCAGTTCTCTAAGGCGTCCCATCTGCACACCTACATCACTCTCACGTAGCCTGGCAACACCTGGTGTTTGTAGCACAGGGATGGGGAATCCTTTCAGCCCAAAGGCCTGCATTATCTTATGGACAGACTCAGAAAATACTTGAGATATGACTCAGGGCAAGAGGGGGGTGGAGTTCTGAGAGCCAGATCTCAAGAGACCCGGGGGAACCCTGACCTGAGCCCCCTAAATGATCGGTCCAGAACTTTCTAGAAGATCTCATTTTCTGCCTCTCTTGGTCACTAAAGCCCTCATGGAGTAGGCTAAAGAGCCTTGCAATGTACTAATTGCTACAACCGATATCTAGCTGTATGTATGCCAGACTCAGTGCCATAGGGAAGCGGCTTGTAAAAGATGCCTCATGACCCCGTTTTATCCTCCTTAAATAGCTTTTCTCCACCATTTCCCTCCTTCGCCACAGTAATGCTGTTCAATAATGCAGATGTAATTTTGTGGCTTGATGTTCTATTTTGCTTTTAGAAGGAGGCAGTATGCTTTCCCTCCTCCCCAACCCCCTCATTATTTGGAGCATGCCACTCTCGTCTGTTGTTCTTCCAGCGCTTCAGGAAAGAGAAGACCTTATTTAGAGCAGACGTCGCTCATCTGTCATTACTGTCAGACTCTGGGCTTAATCAAGCTGTCTCCGTTTGTTATATTTTGAAGCCAACTCTTCGCTGTGTTTGCATGTGCACACATGCATATACAATACACAGGCCCTCGTCCAAGGAAGGACAAGCACAACAGATGGCTGTGTGGTGACTCTTAAAATTGGATTGTCACAGAATTCACCGCCATCCGATGGCCAAGCTAGATGATACACTAGCTGTCTCTGTGCCTTTAAAAGCAGGTTGTCAGCACGGTGGTCTGGTCCAGACAGAAACCTTAACATGGACACTAAGAGGGCATGTAACTTCTATGGTCAAACTCTGGATCATTCCTCCCGACACCAGCAATTTTTATAGGGCAGGGGGAGCTAACCTTTGGTTCTCCAGATGTTGCAGGACTACAGTTCCTATTATGCCCAACTTTTGGCCATGCTGACTAGGCCTGATGGGAATTGGAGTGCAACATTGTCTGGAGGGCCACAAGTTAAGCACCCCGGCATAGGGTGCAGGGAGGAAGCTCCCTGTGTAAAATGTAATAAGCGCCGTCTCCGTTCTCCAAAACTGATGATAGCACCTATCAGAGCTAAGTGAACAGATCGCATGGCAATGCTATCCCTTATCCTCAAGTTATACAGGCTTGAAGATCAAGGCTGCGCCCACATATACATTGAAAGCAGTATCATGCCACTTTAAGCACCCATTTCTTCCTCCATAGAATACTTGGAAGTGTAGTTGGTTAAGCTGCTGAGAGTTGTTAGGATACTCCCCCTGTTTCCCTCACAGAGCTACCAGGGTGGTTTAACAATCGATCCCTCTCCACAGGGCAATCTGACAACTGTAGCTCTGTGAGGAAGACAGGAGTCTGCTGCCAATTCTTAGCACCCTTGACTAACTACAGTTAATGAGGATGCGTTTAAAATCCGACTGTTGCTTCTCTTATGCAGATTAGGTCCAAGAGAGCAGAGTTTGCAGCTGAGAAACTTGAAACAGGAAGAGGGTGCTTAATACTTTTCAAGCTGTTGATTGGTCCTGCCAGTTGCTTTTCCCATTATCTCTCATATTTGTGAGAGGCTGTGGAATTTGGGATTAGATAAAAAGTAGGGAGGTTTTAATGGATGGCTGGATGGGGAGAGGGACGGCTTAAGAACCTCCTTCTGCCCAGGACATTTCCATTTTGTGGCAGAATCAAGACAGAGCTTAGCTTCACCTTCACAAGCCAAGGATCTTTCTCAAATCCATATACTCAAAGTTTAATTTCTATTGGTGAACTGAAAGTTGACTTAATTGTTACAGTGCACTCAGGTCATTTCTGGTTAGAAATTAAACTATCATGCCTCAGCAGAAGCTTACGTAAATGAAAAGAGAACAGTATAAGCCCCCAATGCTAACCAGGGCATAACAAATGTACTTACTCACGCAACAAAAATGAAAGAAAACAATCTCTTGAGAGTCGAAGCTTTCCTACTGGTCAATGGAAGACAAACTTTTTTTAAAAAAACACCTCTGGCTTAAAGACAAGAGAATGGAAAATCTAGATGAGAATAAGTTGGTCACCAACACCAGACAGAAGCGCTCTTATTCAGAGTTTGTCCAGCCAGCTTAGAACAGAAAGCACATATTTACTTATTATGTATTAAAAGCATTTCTATTCCACTTTCATTATAAAAAATTTAAAAAGCAATAGTGGTACCTCAGGTTAAGTACTTAATTCGTTCTGGAGGTCCGTACTTAACCTGAAACTGTTCTTAACCTGAGGTACCACTTTAGCTAATGGGGCCTCCTGCTGCTGCCGCGCCACCGGAGCACGATTTCTGTTCTCATCCTGAAGCAAAGTTCTTAACCTGAAGCACTATTTCTGGGTTAGCGGAATCTGTAACCTGAAGCATATGTAACCTGAAGCGTATGTAACCTGAGGTACCACTGTACACAAAAAAATGCAAAATAACAATATATTAAAAATGCAGAAACAAAACAGCAATAGTACTGTAAATTACAATAAAAATCATTGCTAAAAGCTCAACAGTAAAAATCAGAAGAGCCCTTTGGGATTTCTCTTACTCCTATACTGATGAGCAGCTCACCACAAATTACCAAGACTTTAAAAAATGGTCTTTTTTCAAACACTCACTGATCAACAACCATGAGAGAGAGGTGATGGCATTCAGATATATTGGTGTAGTCTTTCAGTCAACAGGATTGCAGAGAGCCCAGTCTGCATGTTTTTGAGAATGCCCAAAGAACTACCATTGCCCTTCCTAGGTTCTTTTTCTCGAAAGGAGGCTCATTCAATATGTGACTGAAGGTGAGAGCCCAACTTACACATGGCTCACAGCTGTGCATTTATAAGGACTTTTAGTAGATATACAATGTAGGTTTTTTTGCACAGTGCAGTGGTACCTTGGGTTAAGAACTTAATTTGTTCTGGAGGTCAGTTCTTAACCTGAAACTGTTCTTAACCTGAGGTACCACTTTAGCTAATGGGGCCTCCAGCTGCCGCTGCACGATTTCTGTTCTCATCCTGAAGCAAAGTTCTTAACCCCAGGTACTATTTCTGGGTTAGCAGAGTCTGTAACCTAAAGCGTCTGTAACCTGAAGGGTCTGTAACCTGAGGTACCACTGTACCTTTGGTGTTCCATGTTGCACACCGAATGCCTTAACTCAAAGAGTAGGATCTGGGATGACTCCACTCAGACCACAAGTTACAAAACACATATCAATCCCTGTTGAGTATAGACAGCAGGAATGTACTACTACATAATCCAGTTCCATTTTGGCATGCAAACCAGAAACTGCTATTTGATTAAGTTAAATCTTAATCCCTCTGTCTTAGCCTCTTTTATTTCTCCTCTGGTTGGGAGAGAGATGTAAAGGTGGAACTATCACACTTTGGGTCATTGTCTCCTGCTCTGTTACACTTGTGGCCTTGAGAACTAAGGACACAACTAAACTAATCTGGGATGTAGCCCTGCAAGAAGACTAAGCTTTGCTGCTAGGCAGCTGGAAACTAGCAAAACCTTTGTTCCAGCTGCTTATCTTTATGCTCTAGAAATTTCCAAATATCAGAGAGCTTTCACTTTGGCCTCCTTTAATGCCTTGCCATCTGCTCTGCTGGGAGATACACATACATACACACACACACCCGCTTGTAACCACTGCGCCTGCTCGTCAAATGGGAATCAAAACAGTTGCGGACATTCCTTATATATTACACCCCCATTTAAACTGAATTCCCAGGCAGTTCTGATAACCTCCCTCCTTTTGTCAGATTCCACTAACTACTAAATCAGTACCAAAGTGGCAAAATTCAGTGCATCCTCATGCATTACTAGGAACAGGATAGTTAAGTCTCCTTACCAACCACACTATCAGTCAGCTAGTGATGTTCTAGGGAAGGATAGCATGCTGAGGCAGGTGGCATCCCCTCTTTATCCTAACCCAGGCAAGACTTGTCTAAACTGAATGTCCTTTTGCAAGTGACCTAGAATGGATTTGAGGACCCTGTGACTGATGCGTCATCCAAAGCAATTTGAAAAGAAGGAAGTTCAGAAAGAACTGCCGTCTTGTGCAGGTACAGACATGCACAAGCACTTGCAAGGATCAGTGCACATTCACAAGGTCTTTTTTTATTTAAGTTGTGCTTCCCTTCAAAACACTGGAGAAACACCAATGAAGTAAGCAAATCAGCGGATGGAATAAGGTTAGCCTGATGTACTGTAACCTTAAAAATACTGCATGCGATGACTGGCCACATGGAGTGCTGGTTTCTGCAGAGACTCCCACTCCTAAGCCAAGCAGTATAATGACCTGCCAATCATTTTAATCTGTGGAACTGAGGGACGAGGGAATGCCCAACCCACCCAGGGAATGCCCAACCCACCCTGAAGCACAATAAAAACCTAATCGAACTGCAGGATTATTCTGAAATAGAAGTTGCCGATTGGAAAATATGGGGAGATACTAACCCGTTAAGCAGTTATTTCTGCACTTTTCCTCTACCCAGAAGCAAGAGCTCACAGAAGCATTATGTACACTCATGGGTGCAACGAAGCAGGCTCTGCAGCCCGTGAGAAGCACTGGCGAACCTGAGAGGTTACTTGCGTTTATGAAGATGTTTGCTTGAAGTCTTGCCAGGTTAAAAGGCCAGAAGCCTCATAAAAGTAACTACGGTTTGAAATTCTTGAGGATCCTTTTCAACCCAAGCAGTGCTTTTGACACAAAAGGGATAAATTCTTTCATTCAGTGACAAGTACGAAAATGAACAGCTTTTATCAACTCAGTTCGTTCCACATATCAAACCAATGACCAGAATGCTACTTTCAAAAGTATTTAATGGATAACTATCTACAAGTGCATGATAATGTTTTCAGAAAATTGCCAGTCAAAGCTAACAAGGAGTCACCCAAACAGCCGCCAGATATTTCTTCGTATTACAGGCAGTTTCTTACATGGGGTAGTTATCAAAAGCTTAACATCTTTCTGCAACACATGTAAACCCAGGCCTAAGAAAGTTGCTGCTCGCTATGCTTCTAGCAAAAGAAGCAGCTACAGCCTACAATGTTCTGTATTTCCCCCTCTCCATCTCTTCTACATGAAGAAAACAATTTTAAAACAAGTATATAAATTTGAAGAAACAGGCTTCTTCTATAAATGATAGACCCTTATGTAGCCAGAACCACATGAGAGGTATCAACAGCTCTGGGGAAAACCTCAAGGTTTGCAGATGCACAGTAAAAAATACAATGAAAGGTAAAAACCCACGGAAGAGCTTGAGAAAGACTGAACATGCTTCCTGGAATAGAAGGGGACTGTTGCAGAGAAAAGCAGAAAATTGTGAAGAGGAGGAGCAGAGGGCATGGGACAAAGAGAGAGCATGGCTGGCTGGCAAGAACCCTGAACAGGAAGACTCCCAATCCGAAATATTTTTCAGCAGGCCCCATTTGCAGAACATAACATCTAAGGGACCTATTGAGAAGAATGACACTAAATAGCCATCATAATGTATAGGTTTGAGCAGAGATTTGGAAACCCATTAAAAACACCATTTAGCGCATGAAGATTATTAATGAGCTTTCAGCTCTCTGCACAGCTGTAGGGAAACTGTTTTGTTTCACCAATATATGAAATGAAGAACAATTCTGTAATCCCAATATGGAATAAACAATGTTTATTGGGAAGTTTGATGATATTTAATAGGTGGCGTGATCAAGTTTCCTGTTACTGTAGCTTAAAAAACAGGTTACAACATGCATGTAAACAAGTAAGACAAATATAAAAAAACAGCCTGTCTCCAGACATGCCGAGATTTAACATTTGTTAGAAAGCCAAGAATCTGGTTTGCCTACGTTGCTAGCTTTCGGTTGCTCAGCAACTCCTGTATCAGTCTGTAAAAACACAAATGCAATGTATATTGTGCATTACATTCTCCAACTGTAGTCAATAGAATCAAATGTAAAGATGAGTGGAAAGCTTCTACTCCACCACAATAAAAAGATAAAAAAAGTGTCCAAAGAGAAATAAGTGCAATGGAGCTATTGGAAAGGAGAAGTATCATTGGAGAAAGGTTTTTGGAAACATAAAGAAGCATGAAACAGAGGCTGACTTTGGGATGTGCCAACAGGCTGGCTAACGTCTGCAACATTCCTTGCACAAGTATGCATAGAAGTTTAAAAGATACCTAATGGAAATATATTCTGGGTATCTTTGTTCATGGAACAGCAGAAGTGTACCCATGTATGTATTGAGAAATGTATTGAGATGCGGTTTTGAAAAACTGTAGAAATACCTCTTGCCAACTCATTTTCAGTGAGTATTCTGGCCACAGTACTTCTGTGACCTAATTAGGATAGCAAGCTGCTGGGCAACCAGTTCACCCAGTGAAAAAAACAAACAATGGCTACCCTTACTCTCCCATTGTATCAGGGTGCAGAGTTTATGATGTAGGATCTTTTCCGAAGCTATGGTGAAACACAGACTTTTAAAAATCTGTTGGGTACACGAAACAGCAGTGTGGGCGAAACAGAGAAAGGCAGGTGACAGGAAATCAAGGCCTCTGTCTCTCTTCCCCAACCTGTTGCTCTAAGTAGAGATGCACAAGCATGGGGAGTCTCAATACAGAATACTGACAGAAGGCAGCTTACTGACCACCATACTTTTTGTTCAGGCAGGCATTTCACTATAGCTCTTTGAAACGTTGCAAAATAATTCCCTTGCAATTGATCACTTGCTGAACAAATATAAGAGCACTAATGGATTCTTCATTTTAATCATAAATAGGGATGTGAAGTGTGTCACATTATAGCTTTGGCTAAGAAATAAGTCAAAGAAGTTTGCCAAGTAATGAGCACCGCCATGCTATTGTGTCAGAATTCAGCTGCGATTCAAATACATTCAAAATGAGTCTCCTGTACAAGGCACCACCCACTGTTCGGTTCATACCCAGCATGCATTGCTTCTGCTCCCTTTGAAACTGCTCTCTGAACTGTTGCACCGCAGAGATGCTACTTGCTTCTTTGCTTTCCTCATAAATCAGAGACAAGTGGTTTTCAAGTTGGCTTAGAGCTGCGGAGGAAGCTTGCCGGAGAGTGACCATTTCCTTTTCTAAAGTTAGTGCAAGCTGCTCAGCAAGTACCTTCTTGCTTCTGACCCTGAGTGGTTTTATCTTACAGGCTGGTGGCAACGATCTGGTAAGGTTATGAAGGCACTGGAACAAAATCGTTTGATGCCTGTAAAGCAGATTTGTAAAAAAAAAGGTCAGTTATCATTGTTCATAAAAATTCACCAGCAGAAGTTTAAATGTAAACCAGAAGCTATTCAGAACATGAAGCACCGTACTTAAAGGTGAAAAAAGGAATTTGGAACAAATACAAAGTATGGGGAAAGGCAGGAGCAAGCAGGGCTCAGCAAGTTATACTGACAGTAATGTTCCCTGAGAAGTTACAATTAAGGTTTAGAGCAGGGAGGAGGAACTTGCAGTCCTCTAAACCACAACTCTTATCTTCCTTCCTGATTGTTGACCATGCTGGCTGGGGATGAGAGTTGGAGCCTATGGGAAATGTGGGTTCCCCATGCCTGGCTTTTACTTAAACAATCTGTTTAAATATTGTGCTCAAAATATGCATTGTGACTGAGATTAGTATGTTTGGTATTAGTAATCTTTGAAAGGGAAAATGAGGTTCTTTGAAGCTATTCAGTGAGCTGAGTTCCATGACCAAGGCAATGAAACCCTATGTGAATTAGGATATAAACATGTTTACACAAGTGAATTAAGCCATAACAGAAATATGTTTCACAACTCAATATTTTATTGCATTTAAAAGCTCTTTCTAAGGTAGAATACTTGGAAGAATATTCACTGAGAATGAAAACCTGTCCCGTAAAAAATATCCTCTAAAATGACTGAGCAAAATTCTAAGGAAGTTACGTGTATTTTCTATGGCTGTGCCCACCTGCTTCTACCTGGCTTGCTTGAATACCAAATTCAAAGTGGAACATGTTTCCATAAGGCAGATAGCAATGTTAGTTCTGAAAATTCCACAAGGTGTCTTGTTTCAAGTTTATATCATCTTCATTGAATGAAGCCTCTGTAATTATAGTTGTGGGGTCTTCTATGCTCACTTATGCAGATCACTTAAAATGTTTACAAGAGAATCCAATGACCTACTCATTTGGCTAGCATAGCACAGCTATTCAAAATGGTCTTAGATTGCTAGCACAGCAATGTCTATAGCTGTCATGCTCACGAGGCAAAATGAGGTGAGAAAGGTATCCCCAGCTTTTCAATTGCCATTACCTGTAAAATACTGTTAAAGTTCCTTCAAATGGTGTTTTGAGATTCCACTTGAAGACAGTGCCATTCAGATTTCCGGATTTACAAGAGATGAAAGTATCAGGATATTCTTTTATGGCTGCACACTCCATTTGTTCCTGCAGCCATGTTTTTATGTGAATCAATGTATAGTCAGAGGAAATGATTTGAAGTGACACCTTGTGTGATGCTGCACAAAGTGCAACAAGATCTTTTATGGAGCCTGCAGCAGGGACAGAAAAGCATTCGTGAAATTAAAACGGTGTGCAGGGCATTCAAAGCATCCCTTCAACTGTTTCCCCTTCGTTTTAAATCCTTCAATTAAGCAAAATCCGAGATCAAATCCGAGAGCTAGATATTGTATCCCTTTAGACTTGCTTATTTTATGATAGGAAGGCATTTGTGGTTAATTTTTGCTGCCCTATTGTAAACTCTTGGTGCCAGTCAACAAGTAATTTAAAATCAGCGTAGCACTGCTTGTTTGGTGACAACATCCCTCCCACATTCTGCATATCATCCCTAAAACCAACCAAGAACAACCTCTTCGTCGCTCAGGGGGCTGCTTAAGAATTATTAAGTCATCTTCCTAGTGACACAAATTAAATTTGAAGCTTTCATCCAGATCAGAGTGGAGTGGAATGAGAGAGAGAATAGACATTGTTTAAGAGATGGGGAGAAATGTTAAGTGTTCCATTGTTTTTTAAAGTAATGTTTTGGCTCTAAAGAAAACTATTGCCACCTATTCAGCTCTTTGGGACAGAACTGGCAAAATACCTAAGTCAGAAACCAAGTAAGGCTGTTCTGGGTTCAATTCCTGTTCAGGTCTGCTAACTAAGGTCAACATTTCCTATACTACAGCAGGTAAGCTCAAAAAACAACAACCCGCAGTTCTAGCTTTTAAATAAACAGTCCCAAAAGTACAGCAAGTAGCTACCAATCCCTGCATAAAAAGTTTACCTGTGTATTTATAATCGTTTAGATTTATCGAACGTTTTCCAGCAGAAATCTCAGCCAGACTTAATAAAATCTTCCCACATAATAAAGTCATTCCTTTGCTTTTCTGCAGGTGTTCGTCGTCTTTGCAGCTTCTCTTCGTGGCGTGTAACAGTACCACGCAGCCTACTTCATGCAATGCTAAGAAAGGGGACAGCTGGGTAACTGCAGTGAAGCTTTTTGTCCTATCCACCTTCACCTGAGAAGGTTCCCCATTGCACTCCTTCCCATTATGGCAATCGAGCTTGATCCTTTTAAGCAGAGGCTCCAGTTGCCAGTGGGATGCGGATTCTGCCGGCGCAGCTTTCTTCAATGCAACTACGCTGCAGCGGCACTTAGCTGGAAAAGCCGAAGGGCGTTTTCGACCCATTACCAAAGATAAACGCACGTCACTGAGCAGCCTGTTCAAAAAATGAAAAATGCAGACTTAAGAAACAAAAAACAAATGGAGGAATGGCAGTGTACTGTGATCTTCTCTTGATATACTCGAGATTTACAGTTTCTTCATAGTAACAAAAACAGACACTAAAATGTACCTTGCATTTATACCATATAAATCTAACATACATTCATCCAACTCAGGAATTTTTTTTGCATTTTCTTTCGGAGCCATTCTTAACTCTTCTATTTTCTACAGTGGTACCTCGAGTTAAGTTCTTAATTCGTTCCGGAGGTCCGTACTTAACTTGAAACTGTTCTTAACCTGAAGCACCACTTTAGCTAATGGGGCCTCCCACTGCCACTGCGCTTCCGCCACGCGATTTCTGTTCTCATCCTCAAGCAAAGTTCTTAACCTGAAGCAGTATTTCTGGGTTAGCGGAATCTGTAACCTGAAGCGTATGTAACCTGAAGCGTATGTAACCCGAGGTACCACTGTATTTTTTAATTTTGCAGTTGTAGGCTATATAATCTCTACCAATAGCAGCATTTATCTGTAGTTCATGTATAGGATTTATACAACTTACAAGTCATATGTGTCCATTAGTTTCACTCCAACGACTAAGTTGTCCTCTACCACACGGTGCCAAACCTCCTGCACAAGCTGCTCTTTGTCTATAGATGGAGTTGATGTGCCATTATCCAATGGTTCATCCCAGAGGGAAACAAGACCTGCCTTTCAAGAAAAGATACACACATCTACACATATGCCCAAAACAAGCCTGTGTCACAGTTCAGACAATTCCGGAACCAGGAAAACACTACTATTCTTCATATATTTCAGCTAAAAGATAAATTGGTATGGCACACTCCACTTTTACAACAAAAAATATGCTAAAGAGTTTCCATAACCCTCTGTAGGGTTTTTTTTCCAATCCACAGCTGCAGCTATTTACCTACCTGACAACTTCAAAAACTGCGCCCATTTTGAATTGTTCCTTTGTTCTAATTTGAGAGAGAATTCCACCAATTGGTGAACAGACAGAGTTCTGTATTACTCCACATAAACTATGGAAAGGAACCAGTGACTGGAAGGCTTTGAGCTGAAAATATATGTATGGCACAGGAACCTTTCTGATAGTCATGTCCTTTGGCAACAAAATTTTGTACCTGTATTTCCTTAAAGACTGGCTATTTTTGGCTTTAGTGAAAAAAGTTGACCCCAAACATAGAGAAATATTTCTTACATGGTTACAGCTACCAATGAGTGACTCTTATGCAAAGTATTGGAAGCCTGTGTCCCTACCCATTATAGAAGAATGGAAACAAAACCTGTTTATATATTTTTTAAAAAAACACGTCTCTGTTACAGAAAAAAAAAATCTTCATGTCGTATACCTTTTCCGCACTTGGAAGACTATGTTTTTGGTCTTGAACTAGGTCAATCAATGCTCCACAACTTTCCACCAGAACCTTTTCTTTGAGCCGTAAATGCTGCTGTAGCTCTCGAACAGAAGCAAAACCAGCCTACGGGATACAAAAGGAGTTAGAAAGTTCATAATGATGACACTGCGAGAGTAGATGCTTTTCTTTTTCAAGATATTAAAAGAGCTAACAGTTGTAGATTCCTCTCTCATTGTTAAAAAATATAAAAACCATAGCTCAACATAGAAATGGGAAGTTCTGTGGTTGCTGTGATAATTATTTGATGAAACCGACAATGCAGAGAGAAACATCTGTAGCTACTCACTGACTGCAGAAATTGTGCAGTTACCTGAACTTTGGACATCGAGTTTCTTTCAGCAACCTGCCTTTCTTTTATACTCCCAGTCCTCAGCTAGGCTGATGTAGATACCCTTTTGCTCTTTGCATGTATCCCTTGGACACCTAAACCGCTAATCTGTAGCCCTCCGGATTTTGCCCATAATTTACTAGCAAAAATTATGCCAGTAAAGGCTGAATGGGAATGAATGAATGAATGAATGAATGAATTCCTATCATTCCTGGCCAATGGCCTGTTCCCATCAAAGGTCTTTATAAGTGATTCATAAGAATTCACAGCAAAGTCGCAGCTAAGGTTATATGTGTCATCCACAGTAGACAACCACAAAACTTGATGTAAAATAAAGTCAGCAGCAAGGCACCTACAATAAGAAAAGCATCATCATCTCAACGTTAGGTTTTCAAGGACATATACAAGGCAAGAGAAGGATGCCAGACAACAGTGCGACAATAATTCATAGTGCTTATCCCTTATTTTAATTTGGGTTGGAAAGTGAATCATGGGCAACAAGCCTTTCTTTCCTAGCTTCCAAACAACCTAGTGATGGCTATCAGTATTTCAAAACCTGAAGAGAGCAAGGCTATAGCCCTGTGCACATATACCTGAGAGTAAGCCCCACAGAATACAGCGAGGAGTTTAGACACTGAACACTCCAGTAAGTTAAGATTCCCTCAACACAACTCAACAGTAATTATAGCAGGGAATACTCAGTACAACTACCTGGTTCTGCATTTGCAAACATCAACGAAATGGAATGATCCAAAACAGAGTTTATGCTGCATGAGAGTTCGTTAATACAAAACAAACCCCGGGTTGTCAAGACATATCAAGAGGCAGATAATGGATCCAAACCTGCAATCTTGCTTCAAGTCCTTTGATAGTAAGGAAGTGGTTCTTCTGTAGCTCTTGTGTAGAATGTGAGTCATCTTCATAGCTTATGTTATTCTAAAGACAGGCAAAACATATTTAACTCTATGCCAGAAAGTAAGCGAGGCACGAATGTGGAAAACTGAGCCACACAAGGACCAAGTAAAAGTCTTCCATTCATATGCCACCCAAGTGAAAATGACAATTGTATCCACTTCAAAGCCTACATTTCTGTATTTTTATAATAAATGTTACATATAATTATAATATTGTAGATTTGATGCAATATAGATTTATTAAAATATATGTACTTTAATTATACCCCAACCATTTAAAAAAAATTCTACACATCTACTGGTTTATGAAAGATGAGATTGATAGCACATAGTAGCCTGGTTTGGACATAACTGCAGCTTGTTCTTACGTAAGCCTTAGGTATTAGGCTCAAGCACTTCCCATCTCACCTCCACAAGATCAGAAGCTTCTGTTCCTGTTTCAGATTAACCAGTTTCATATGCCATTGATCTTCAATGTGCTTAATTGAAACAACTTAACTTCAGAAACTATTCTTTTAAACTGAGTTGTTCCAACAGACCACAGTTAAGATTAACCAGTTCATTTGAATTTGGATGACTCTGCAGAATGCAGTTAATCTAAAAAGGAATTCTTCCTTGTAGCCATGCCAGAGATGGGAGCATATGCAAGACAAAGGTTCTCAGAGGCATGGTTCAGCATTATGTCAAAACAAGGCCACTGCAGAGTTATGAAAGGCATTTGATTCTGCAAGGCACACCTTCTTCCAAACCTCCTCAATTTGAATCAAAGCAAACCGTAAGGCAAATGACTCTTTGCCAAATACAGTGGTGCCCCGCAAGACGAATGCCTCGCAAGACGGAAAACCCGCTAGATGAAAGGGTTTTCCGTTTTTGAGTTGCTTCGCAGGACGAATTTCCCTATGGGCTTGCTTCGCAAGACGAAAATGTCTTGCGAGTCTTGAGATTTTTTTTCGCTCCCCCCCCTTTTTCTAAGCCGCTAATAGCCTTTTAGCAGCTAATCCGCTAAGCCGATAAGCCTTTAATAACCACTAAACCGCTAATAGCGCTAATCCGCTAATAGGGTTGCTTCGCAAGACGAAAAAACCGCTAGACGAAGACACTCGCGGAACGGATTAATTTCGTCTTGCGAGGCACCACTGTACCTCTTACAGAAACCTTTCCCAACAATTTCCCCAATCAGTAAATCTTACCACATGGTGAACATTTCCAAAATTGGATATTTGAAATGTATTTAAACTTTCTGAGATGGAGTCAGTCTTTAGAAGAACTAAGATTTGTTCCGTTCCAATGCCAACAAAATCATCTACCAGAATAGACCTCACATTTTTCCAGGAAGAAACCACCTGCAATGTAAGGTAACATTAGAAATGTTTCATTTCGTTAATATCTACATTATGCACATGAAATGAAAATATTCTCATAGTAGACAGCTTAAGCTAGTATGGCGCAGCAGCAGCTAGACCACAATGCACCAACTACAGTTATAACGGACATTTCAAGCAATTTTATTCTTCAGTTAATTTCAAGAGCGACAAACATTGTGTGAATCCATCCTTAGGAGATGGAGCATGGACATTTTATCATCTGCTGTGTTATGCATACTTAAAACTTCTTTCATTCTTCTGAAATTTATTTCTGGTGCACCTATGTTCATTGAACACACAAGTATTTGGTTTTGTGCCTTTGTTCAGGACTTCATTTGAGTGAGGACTTAGCCCCAGCATCTACATATATTCAGCCCTGGAACAAGTTAGAAAATTATTTCAAATTTGCCTCCATGACTCCACAGAGAGCTTCAACATGGAGTAACTACCATGAGCTCTGTGTTAAGAGGAATGACTTTCAAAGAAAGTAGAATGACACCTGGGTTGGCATCAGCCCCAGCACATCTCACTACCCCTGTTACACACAAGAGGTTCTGCAACATCAGAAATCCAGTATGCATTTGAAGCTTCCATGTAGGCAAAAGGCTTCCCTATTCATCTCAACTGCTAGGAAAATCCTCCTCTGGAGGAGATGTGGGAGCCAGCTATATGTCATCTAGCCTGTATACCAGCTGTTTGTCATCTACCCATCACGTCTGAACTTATGTGTAGCCAGGCTCCCCGGAATGCAGTAAAACCAATACTAGAAACTGTATTGTTTGTTAACCCCTTTTTTGCTTTGTATTTATGTTCTTAAGACTCAATTGTTATCATTTTTGTAATACTGAATTTATTCTGTGTTTTCCAAATTGTGTTTGGGTTTTTTCGTCATTTTGAATTTACTGATATGTTCCATTTGTAATATAGAGCACTGGAAATACAATGTTTTGAATGTTTGCTGTAAGCCGCTTTGGGCCCTGCCTATTGTGGAAAACAGAATATAGGCAAGCTCAATCACTCAATACGTGCATCGGTTTCTGCAGAGATTTGTGTCGAGCATATTGCATAACACAAGAAGGCAGAACCTTTGCAAGCCTAAGAACAAAGTATCAGATCAATACCTGTAAATTACGCTTCCATAGTGCACACACATCTCCTGAAGCAAAGGTTACAACCACCAACTGGCTGTTTCCTTCCACTGCTGCTACCTGTACAGAACAAGGATTCTCATATGGAAGCTGGTGAACATCTTTCGGTAGACCATCTTGGAAAATGATGACTTGGCTTTTGCATGTGACTGCGACAACTGACGTCCTGAACTTGCTTCTCACGGCATCGACTTCACAAACGTGCACACACGCTACCACGCCACCATAAGCATGAGGAACAAAAGTGGCCCTTGTTAGCGCTTCCTGTTTCTCCACTGCATAGGCAAAGCACTCGGTACCCCAGATGAATGCATCTGATTTGGGAACACTTTGCCCATTGCCTCTGTCTGTCAAACAAGCAGCTCTTGTTCCCAGAACAACAGCACCCTCACCCTTAATCTCACCGGCCCATTTGATGGAACAAAGCTGAACAGGGGCACATAAAACAGTGCAAGTTTGGGGAGAAATGTGAAACAGGCTTTTTGCATGGCTCCATAAAACCGTTGGGCCAGAAAGCAACTTTATGGGTTCTTTCAGTTCATAATCCAATTTAAAATGCAGAACCAGCTCAAATTTGTTACTGTTATGAAGCAAGAGTAAAGTATATTTTGTGTTCTTCTTCATCTTCTTTTTCAATAGAACACAAGGGTGAAGGATTCCTGTTCTGAAGTCAGATGCACAGCTGCAATGAATCATTTCCACACCATCCTCACAATCGCTAAATGACCCAGTAGACGTCTCAATAAACTGTTTAGTACAACTGTCAAATGACATTCTCCTGGCGTGCAATTTCATCACTTTTGTACCACTGCCTTGTGTGGATTTCAGTTTTGACAGCTGGAAAACCAGGAGTTCCCCATTATATGACAACAACTTCTCTTGCTGATCCATCAGCATATTTCCTTAAAATACGTCCACTGCAAGAAGACCATGAGTTGGTCTCCTGCTTTTCAGTAGGATGATTCTTCTGTTTAATGTAGCATTTGATCTGAGCAGCATTTTTCCAATCTGAAAAATAATAAGTGTTTGGCAATACAGCAACAGAAAGCAGACCATTTTAACCTCAGTAAGGAAGGATCAGTCTGTGCCCATAAAAAGGTCACATTCACACTAATAATTCAGTTCAATAAAACACTTCCAGCTGGATTCTAAATATGTTTATCTAAGTAAAGAGGGCACTTCCTGATAACTGTACCTAGGATTCCAGTGTTTAACCCAGGGGTGGGCAGCTTCAGGCCTGGGGGCCAAATACAGTCCTCCAAGTCTCTCCACTGAGCCCTTGAAAGCTGCCCAGGCCACATCTCTCACCAGCCCTGCTCTGCACTCTGCTCAACACCCAACCACACTCCCCTCAGCTGCAATTCCCAGCAACTCATATTCAGGAGCATACTGCCTCCAACAGGGGAGGGAGAACATATCCTTGGTGGCTAATTGTTATCATTGATGTGGCCCCGGAAGGCTGCAAGTGAGGCTGAGTAAGGTCCCCTGCTTTCACCCATGTACTGTTTACACTTAAAGATGAGTTAAAGCAGAAGGGTACCACCTTCAGCTGCCAATTCCTATAGATGTTCAAGAAGTAAGGTCCACTGAATCCAGTCCTGGCATTAGTCCAGCCAATCGTCACTAGTGACAAACATCTAAATATCTGAAATTAGACAATTTTTAATCAGGATTAGACACAGAAATCTAGTAAATCCCACATGTAATGCCAGGGAAAATTACAACTGTCCAGCATAATCAAGCTTTTCCCGGGATGTAAATTACCTCAACCAACAGGCCTTAAAAGCATTTCTTGCTCTGGAATGCAAAAGTAACGGTGCTACAAATAGCTAAGTTCTAATCTAAAGATGATCCGGTTTCTCAGGCACCTATAAAATGTCTACTCATAAGCAAGCCCCACTGTACACATGTACGCATCTTAAATGAGTACAGTATACAATAGCAACCTCAAAGGAATGTCATAGGGGATACACTACTGCTACTGAATACAAGAGACAGGCTCCAAGGTGACCAGATGCGAAGGAAGACAAGCCTGTAACTTTAATCACTGTGTGGAAGTTGACATTTTGACAACTACAGCTGGTCATGCTATCAAGGGAGATAAAATCTAAAGAGTTTCTTCTGAACAAAAAATACAAGAGCTTTTGCATTTCAACCAACCCAGCCACACTGAGTTAGAGACAGTGATCACATATGTTCTTTTTTAAAGGAAGTGTTGATTCTAAAAGTATGTGATCTTAGTTATCTGATGGTGCAGGACACAAACGACACATAGGCTTACAACCACTCTTTTCTCTTTCTGGTTTGTGTGGCAGGAAAACAGATCTGACCCATGTGTAAGTAAGAAATAAAAGAATCGGCTGGGCACCAAGATTCAAAATGCGGGGCTTTACACATTCTCCAGCCGGAGAGAGCCCCCAGCAAGGTTTAAAACAGTCACAGTTAAGCAGAAGCATGCTATGGGAATAATTTACACTGGTACCTCGGGATGCGAACGGGATCCGTTCCGGAGCCCCGTTCGCATCCTGAAGCGAATGTAACAAGCGACAGCGCGTCTGCGCGGGATGTCATTTTGAGCGTCTGTGCATGCGCAAGCGGCAAAACCCGGAAGTAACATGCTCCATTACTTGGGAGTTGCCGTGGAGCGCAACTCGAACGCGCTCAACCCGAGGCACATTCGACCCGAGGTATGACTGTAGTTTGCTTGCAGAGCTCACCCTTCTCTCTAGCGCTCTGGCAACAAACGAACCACACTCTGTTAAGTAAATTTAAAATGCTTGGCTTGCAAAATCCAAAGGTCTGATTCATGCGCTGTTCCACGCAGCAGCAAGGAGAACACAGGTGGAATACTATAGGGTACAAAATACAGAACACAAGTTTCAAGCATGTAGTCTGTGCTGGGAGCCCCACTGAGCTCAAAGGGGCTTACTCCCAGTTAAGAGATGTTCAGATTGCCTCCTCAGAATCACTTTACTTTAGCCCTGTCAACCTAATCCCTCTCTGTGAGCGGGGGGGGGGGGGGGAATTATTTCTGTAAACCACCCCCCAGGCCACACAAGCCACACCCGCTGGCATGGGGGAAGGCAGTGAAATCCCCATCCTTATCCTGGTAGGCATCCCTCTGTAGGAATACTAAAGAGCAACCTTAGGCGCACTTACTTGGAAGTAGGTTCCACTGATCTGAATGAGCAAAGCGGGCAGGACCCGATGAGCCTCAACATAACGCGCGAGGAGACCGCGGGAGCCCCTTTCATTCCCCACCAGCAACAGCACTAGCGGCCGGAGCCTCAAGCTCCGAACAATCCCGCCAAACAAAAGAATCCTGGGAACGGAGTCACGTTACATCATTAAGCCGGGCGCCATTGGCTGTAGCAAACGAAATGGGCGGGACTGTAAATGGAGAGGCGAAAGGCCGCGCGCGGTAGGATTGGAGGGAATCAAGCCAGGAAATGAATGGGCGTGGCTTCCAGAGAGAGAGAGAGAGAGAGAGAGAGAGAGAGAGGGGTTGGGAGGGGGGAGGAAGTGGGAGGTTGTGGTTTCGCGTCTGCGCGCGCGCGCTACGTATGATTTGCTTGTTTTTGTTGAACGAGAGCTGGCCTGGTTGGTAGGCGGCTGAGAGAAAGAGCGGGGACTTTGTTAGCCGTTGAGGCCGGCGCGCGCGTTTGTGTGGATCTGCGCGCGCACGCGCGGCGTCGGCTGGTGTCGGTTCCTTACCTCAGCCTTGTGTCACGCGCTCCTTTTCCCCGCGCCTCCGCCCACCCCTTACCCACCCGCGCTCTTGGTCTCGCCCGTTTCCCTCGCGTCGCTGCTGCTGCTGCTGCTGCTTCTACTTCTACTTCTAGTCTGGTGCGGGCAGGACCATGGCGGATGTGAGTAGTCAAGAGAACGCGGAGGGGGGAATTCTCGGCCCGTTTACATGACTATCCGCCGGGCTGAGGCGGTGGGTCTGTCGGGGCAGAACCGCGGGAGGGGACGGTTGGTCCAAGAAAATAGTGGCTGTTGGGTTTATTTTACTTTATTTTTTTGCTGCTAGGTAAAGTTGAGGTGACTAGGTTGAGGGGATTTGAGGTAGAGCCTGTGGGGCGCCGGAAAAGCCGCACGAATATCCCCCAGCCCAACTCCTTCACAGGTGGGGAGTCTTCCTCAGGTGGCCCTGCTTGTGGCACAGCAGACGCCCTTCTTGGGTGTGCCTTGGCTTTCCCCTTTTTTAAACTTTTTAAGAGAGAGATGAAAATCGACATTGTGCCTATTAGGTTCAGTCTCTTGGTAAGGGCCTCAATAACGTCAATTAATGTGTCTGGGCTGCACAGTTCCACAACAACTCCCCAGTTTATCATTGTTTTGGGTCCTTGGTTTTCGACTTCTGATGTTTGGCCGTCACTTGACAACATTCTCTGACCCTGGAAATAAGGAGGCAAACTATCACTTTAAGGAGGGCCCTGTTCTGTAGAAGTTTGTGAAAATGGCATCTTTTCTGTGCTCCTTTCCCTTTCCAGCAGGACACCAGGGCTCCATTAATAAGTGAAACCAGAAGGCGCTTTGAGGCAGAATATCTACAAGGTTGGTGCAGTACCCAAACATTTTATTTGTATCCCACACTTTAAGCAGAGGCTTGACAACCATATGTCAGGAGTGCTCTGATGGTGTTTCCTGCTTGGCAGGGGGTTGGACTCGATGGCCCGTGTGGTCTCTTCCAACTCTATGATTCTATGACTTACTTGCTTTTATTTGTTAGCAATCCATGAAACTAGTTAATAGGTGTATGTTGGTTGTCTTCCTAATAAACACACCCAGTTCAATATATTCTTCACTGTGGTGATCCTACCCATTAATGCATCATTGTTTCTGCCTGAATCAGCCTTGACTTTCCATCACATACTTAGGAATTTGTAGCCTAACTAAAAGCTACCTTCTTCTGACTAAACACTTGAAGGATTGGGCTGTTATGAAGTAAGTCCTGATGATTTTCCAAGCGAAGTTACAGGGAACCAGGCAGAGGGCCTTCTCAGTAGTGGCACCTGCCTCGTGGAATGCCCTCCCATCAGATGTCAAGGAAGTAAACAACTATCTGACTTTTAGAAGACATGTGAAGGCAGCCCTGTTTAGCAAAGTTTTTAATATTTGAAGTTTTATTCTGCTTTAGTGTTCTGTTGGGAGCCGCCCAGAGTGGCTGGGGAAACCCAGCCAGATGGGTGGGGTATAAATAATAAAATTATTATTATTATAGTTGTGTGAACTTCTGGTGCTGTGTGCATTGCTCAGTGAATTAAATCAAAAGATGCATTAGTCAGGGAACACTTTTTCTCACTCCTCTCAGATTGTTCCCTTTTCTGATCATGAGCTAGTGCAGAGCTTTCCAAACTGTGTGTCACAACACCTTAGTGTGTAGGTGTGTTGCATGAACACTCCTTGTGCTCCTCCTGGGGCTGGAAATGGTTTAACCTCTGGTTTGCTAGTAAACTGAATTACTTTTGTTGCAAAATGATGCATGTCTAAAAGTGTGTTGCCAACATGAAAAGTTTGGAAAGCTCTGAGTTAGTGTTTTTTTAAAAAAATCCACAAACCAGTTACACAATCCTGCTACATTTTAAGGACATTTCCCTACCTGTAAGCATTTTTGGTGCACCAAATGCAAACTTAACAAGCTTTTAATGACTTTTCCTGGTTTATCTTGGTCATTGAGGCTGTGCTCCATACTACAGCTCCTGATAGCAGCCGTCTCCAGCCTGGTAGGCCTATTTACCAACATTTCTGTGACTTGTTTGACACCTTACTAGGCCACAGTTGCCTTGTGGGCCTTGTCAAAAGGCAGGGTGCACATACTAACATATATATTTTTAATGTTTTGTAGACACTTGGAAATAAAATATATAAAGCAGAAATAACATGTCTTCATTATCCCAACACGTTCTCTTAAAATTGTAGTATTCCTGCTCAGACTGTTAGGAAACATATGTATGTGTCAGTTTTTAAATCTGGTCATATTTTCTAATGCCATTCTTATTTTATTGACCAGCAAAAACAGATAAATATGATTCTAGAGATACAGAGAGACTACAGCAAGATGATACCTGGGTTGATAATTTTCTGATATGGCGAGATGATAATGTGGACGATACATTAAAGATGATTGATGAAAGCTTTCAGTGGAGAAAAGAGTATGCAGTTCACGGTAAGATGTTTGGTATCTAATTGTAAAAGCAGTTGCTTTTCAAACTGCATTGCTGCTTGTTCCACATGCACCTCTACTTGATAGTTTTGTCCCTGCACTTCTAGGGTGAGTTGTTAATAATATAGTTAAACCCCAAAAGCAGCCTTTGAGTAAAGACATTACGTTCTATACTGACAAAATACTGCAAGTAAATAGCAGCAAAGGAGAGCTGGTGTTTAATTAGTATGTATACAATTGTGTGCATCCCTCCAAAGTCAACTACAGTATATAGAAATATTACTGCCCTAAATTATGCGGGCACACACTGTTCCACAGACAAACTCTCTGCTTGAGAATAATGCCTGATGTTTAGTTGTTTTTCATCACTTCATGGGATTATTTTGCTATTTCTATCTGTACAACAATGATTTATTCACTGACAAGGGCAGTCTTCATACAGCATCCAGGAACCAAAATATTTATTCTTGGTCTGACAGTTTATTGGTGCTGCCCTTGTGCGTTCAGTCTATCGGGGGTTCCTACTCTGTCATAAGTGAGAAGAGGTTCCCTAAAATGCTTTAAATTAAATATTACCCCTAACTCTTTTCCAGGCTTCAATAACTTGTCTTAGAACCCTGCCGTTCCCTATTACCGGATAATCAATACAATATGCTATGTTGGAGTTATAATGCTGTGTTTCGATTGAAAAAAAAAACTGCCCCGCCCCCAAGTCTTCCTTTAGAACTTCAGGATTTTGTTACAGTATACTTATATGTGCTTATAAAAATCTTGCTTTTCTGTAGACTTGACAGAATCTTCACTTCCAAAGCGGTTCTTTGAACCTGGTGCCATTTACCTACATGGTTATGATAAGGAAGGCTATAAAATCTGTAAGTCTGCCTGTTCATCTGCTTACTCATTTACAAGTAATGCAAATGTAATTATGGTTTCAGAGTGAAGAGAACTAAACTTTATGATAATATATACCGTAACAGGTTATTGGCATCTGTATTTGAGAAGTAATAAAACAATACTGAGGCCATATCACAGGGAGGTAGCTATTAGGCAGTCTTGTATTTAATGAAGGCATGCAGGGTGTAAACATTTACTTCATTAGCCCTTCATTTTAGGAGACACATCTTCAGTATCACATGAAACTAACTATGCTCAAGCATATTCTGTTCAAAAGTGCTTATGTGTCTTTCCTCTTCCTCAGTATAGCTTCTTGAAATTTGACTGATTTTGTACACTGATTGCTAATTCTTCCACCTTTTGAAGAAAACCTTTGGTGGTTTCAATTTTTCAACATAGTGGATGCCTTAGGAAGGCATCTGATGGTGCAACCCAATTCCATTGGAATAAATAAATGTGTCTTTATTGAATGGGACAAAGATTAGTGGGGTAAGATAGCTGGAAATAATGGCAATCTATTTCACATCTGGCAACCAATGCACCCCTTAGATTTCAGATAGTACATGGGTAGATGAGTCTAAAACGCTGAGGACACACAGTTCATGGTCCTCTAGCAGCTATGGTGGCTCATCTACCAGAAGTAATTTATTTATTGTAAACTGGAAGTGTATACTCTAGTCTAACCAAACTAGGAGGTTCCCCTGTCCATGTACTATCTGAAACCAAAGGGGCACATTGGTTGCCAGGTTTAAAAAAAAAATCAGCTCAACTACCTCACTAGATTGTTCTCTTAGGTCCGTAGCCCTATTCTTCTCCATGGGTCTCGCTTCTGAGTAGACATGTTTATGATTTTACAGTAGATTATCTTTGTTTCGTTAAGAAAATTATATTTGAGCAAACCATATATAAGTGGATTTTAAAATCCCTTCCTAAAAGGACTCGCTCAACATGAAGACATATTTTATATCTTGCATTCATGCTTTAGAGCATGTAGGAGGAGGCAAAAATATAGATTCACATTTTTCTTTATAATGTCTTTCTTCTGTCATTTTAAAAAAATCTTCCAGGGCTTTAAAATTAAATGCAGTGAACAAAACTGTATTATAACTAATTCATGATAAATAAAAATGTGTGTACCTTAGAAAATAAGAATATCTCCTTTACTTAGGAGATAGAAAGTTCAAGAATAAGGGCATAAGCCAACCCGTGGGAGGGGGTGAGTTGAATTGTATAGAGGTGATGCTTTGCTTAGTCATTCTGGCCTGCATCTTTTATGTGTGTAGGTTGAAGTTTGAAGCAGCATTACATTGGAACACACCTCTCAGCCTGATTGCTATGCCAATTGAAGGCTGCCTTATCAATTTGCCCCACGCCCCCTCTATCTACGACTCTCACAGATGTGGCAGGGCTGTGGATAAGGTGGTTGCCTCACTTCTCTGCTAAAGCCCCATGGGGCAGCATCAAGTGTCTGGGTTGTGTCATAAGTAGCTATTAGGCAAACATGCATGTTTATTTGTGTTTCTCCCACCCCACTCCATTAGTTTGGTTCAGGGTGAAACTTCATGTAAAAGATTCTAAAACTCAATTTGAAAAGAAGAAGCTAGTAGCCTTTTGGTTGGAACGCTATGCCAGACGAGAACACGGAAAACCTTTGACAGTGGTATTTGACATGGCTGAAACTGGAATTAGTAACATAGTAAGTATGCATATTACTGTTTTCCTGTTGATGTGTCTTAAACAAAACATTTCCAGTTGGAAAGTTATATAGTCATACCTCGGGTTGAAGTAGCTTTGGGATAAGTATTTTCGGGTTGCGCGCTGCAGCGACCCGGAAGTAACAGAGCACGTTACTTCCGGGTTTCACTGCATGCGCAGAGGGTCAAAATGGCGTCATGCGCAGAAGCAGCAAATCGCGACCCACGCAGATGCAGGTTGCGTTCGCTTCTGGATGCGAACGGGGCTCCGGAACGGATCCCATTCGCATCCAGAGGTAGCACTGTACTGCCTTTATGAAGCCTTTTATAATGGAGTACTTAGATTTAAATTATTTGCCTTTCAGCATAAATCTAACTTCTGGATTGACTTGTTTATGAATCACAGCCAAAGCCAGCTGTTTAATAAGAACTAGGCTGAATCTACTATTTACTTAATTAGTAGTAGAAAGTGCTGCGATCATACATTCTGTTTTGCAGCAAAGTTCCACTAATTTTTATAGGTTTTAGGGCCTGTTCTCTCAACAGTCTCAGAACTCTTAACCATTAAAAATAAAGGCCTTGACGTCTTTTATCCATGTAAACCTTGTTAAGACTGCCAGATGCTTCCTGATACCACATATAAGATTTAGCCTGGATTTTCTTACGCTGTCTCACCACAGATGATACCATCTCACAGAAGTATTTGTCAGGCCTCTATGTATAAAGTAACCCTTTAAACTGGCCTGTATGTGTCGCTCCAAGCCAGTTTGCATATATTTTATAGGGTTACTTCAGAATCAGCTTGATATACAGTGGTACCTTAGTTTACGAACTTAATCCGTTTTGGAAGTCTGTTCTTAAACCAAAACCGTTCTTAAACCGAGGTGCACTTTCCCTAATGAGGCTTCCCGCAGCTGGTGCCCTTCCACCAGTTGGATTCCGTTCTTAGACCGAGGCAAAGTTCTCAAACCAAGACACTATTTCCAGTTTTGCAGAGCTTGTAAACCAAATCATTCTTAAACCGGACTGTTCTTAAACCGAGGTACCACTGTATTTTTGAATAAGGTGAGATATTCCAAAATTAAAAACGTTGAAGCACCTTCAGCACTGGAGCTGTTGAACAGAACTTTCTTGACGTTTTCTGAAAGCTATAAGTAGAGTTTAATCTTTTGTTAATTGGTAATACATCTTTATTTTAGGATATGGATTTTGTCCGATACATCATCAACTGCTTTAAAGTTTATTACCCTAATTACCTCAGTAAGTATGATAATAGCATTTATATTATACTATAGATTTAGAAAATAAATGAAAAACAAGAGTTTCTCAAATCTGAGGGTAGTATCAGCCATAGTACAAGCTGGTTCCTGAAAATGGAAGTTTGGAAACAAAGTGGTAGTGTGAAGAATTCATAGAAATCTGAGGTATATTTTGAGATGTTCAGTGGATTCGAGCCTCATGCTGTTTTTCTCCCTGCCCCTGCCTAAATATTTTGTCTGCAAAATGGTTTACAGTAGGCATAAAATAGATTGATCCTAGGATATAAGTGGCACTTTTTTTTATAGCAGCAGAAAATAATTCTTCACAACTGCCATGTTCACAGTATAGTTCTTTTCACAATTTGTCACAATTGGGAGGTTTCACTATCCAATTACTTCAGACAGTCTAATACTCAATTAATTAACAAGGCCTTTCACAGAGCAGCTATTGAATTGAGTTTTGTAATTGTCCCCCTCATAAATATTTTTTAAAGTATTTCTATATGTATTAGGTAAATCATACTAGGGAGTAAAGAATGAACTAGGTACACTGGGGCTTTTCCTGTCCCCCTTCCCAATATAGTTTCTGGTATCCTGAAATCCACTCCAGGGAGTACAGTTGAATCTAGGGAAAGGCAGCCAGGGGTAGCGGTGGGCAGGCAGCACACCTGTGAGTGCAAAGATGCATTTACCATTTATTTTTATCTTTAGACTTCAGCCAATTAACCTGGGAGCAGACACAGATAGGATTGGGCTTTCAATGTAGTCTTTCAAAGTTTTGATGACTCCATTTTATTTTAAATGTTTTTATTAGCTTTTGTGTTTGATTTCTCAAATACAGCTGTTAGGGAAAGCATTCTGCTCGTATCTTTATAATTTACTTTTATATCCCTTTACAGACTAATGTATCGATGATAAATTTTCAGTTATTTTGCTTGTAACTAAGGTGACTCCCACACCAAGAAATCTAAACTCTGGCCTATTTTCCACTGAATAATGTATTTAAATTACACATTCAGAATTGCTAATTTATGTAGTGAAGAAAATGAAGAGGGGAGTTTAACAGGACAACAAATAAAGTGTTTTCATTTCATAGGAAATTTGACAGTGCTAAAATGCTATATTAACCACAAAAACCCTCTTCTATTGTTCATGCAGCAAAAATTGTGATCTTTGAACTGCCCTGGATAATGAATGGTAAGTTAAAATTTTAACTTGTTTTATCTGGAAGGATTGTTACTGAAATTTATATTTTATGCAAATCCCTTATTATTGTTGACAGGGGAATTTTTATATGATTCTAATGTTTTTGTACAGTGTATCTTGTGTCTTATTTTTACCTGTCCCAAACATTCAGGGAAGGCAATGACCGCTTAAAAAAAAAAAATTAGCAATCAAATACCATCTAAAATATATTTGCTTCCAATATTTGCTAACAAAACTAATGGGAAGTAAGTTGTGATTGTGGTTTGTGTAAACAAAATAGTAGAACTCTTTTCAAACTATCTTCCCTTTTCTTACCCAGCTGCTTTTAAAATTGTGAAAAGTTGGCTGGGTCCGGAAGCAGTGGGTTTGCTGAAGTTGACTAATAAGAATGAAATCCAGGAGTATATCAGTGCTGAATATCTTCCACCCTATATGGGTGGAACTGTAAGTATATTGCTGCTGAACTTAATGTTTGTATTATGTTGTGAAGGGAAAGTATAATAAATATATAGACTACACAGTTTTGGAATTAAGTAAACAATTATAATACATTTGTTTTTAATGACTAATTTGTGTTCTACTGTTTTGTTACTAATTTCTGCTTTTAGCTATTTTTCCAATGGTCTTTTTCTGTGTACTATGATTGTTTTGATTGGTTTTCTGTCTTGTAATTATGACCCTCTTTGGGGACTGTGAAGTTGCAATTCAGCATATAAATAATTACTGTTTTTAATTCTGTAGTCTTCACGGTCATCAAACCACCTGCTTCCAGAGTAGCAGTAGTATTGTTCTAGAGCAGGGATGATTTTTTTGGCTTCTCAGATGGATTACGCCTCCTAGGGCTTTCAATCCAGTCTGTAGTGTCATCTTTGAGACCTTCTGCTTCCTGGGAGGGCAGACTTTCAGGCTGTCATTAAAGTGAATAATGACTTATCACTCAGCAGTGGAAGCTATCATACAATCTTCTGATACTCACATTAATCATATTCCTGCTATGGGTTGTAACTTGAGTTTTAGATATTTTAATTCCATTAAACAGCAACCATAATTTGTTAAAAGGCATCCTGCGCAGAAAATGCTGGAAATGTGGTCTGAACACCATTTCCCACCCATCAGTAAGATTTGTGAGATAACAGAATTGCTGAATTAATGCAGATTAACTGGGCATTAACCAGGTTGTATACCCAATGATACACTAATACTTTGTTTTTTTTTTTTTTAAAGCAATTTATTGGATTTTACAATAGGAATAAATGTAATAAACAATATAACATTCATCTTAACATAATTTCACATTTTCTTTGGACTTCCTCACATCTCCCGCTCCCACCTTCATCATTATAACATTTTGTCAGCAATTTATCATCTTATTTAAATTCTTATATCTCTTCGATATTTCATAATCTTATAGTTCTCATAAAGAGTTAAACTTTCACAGTTTTTCTTATTTTCTTAAAAACTTCTAAGTTAAGTGGTGCTCAGTTATTTAGTCTAGCATCTTATTCAGCATTCAGTCAAATCACAATGTTTTTGTAGGTAGTTCTTAAATTTCTTCCAATCCTCCTCGATTCTCTCTTCTCCCAGGTCACGGATTCTGCCAGTCATTTCAGCCAGTTGCATATAGTCTATCAGTTGCATCTGCCATTCTTCCAGTGTGGGTAGATCTTGAGTTTTCCAATGTTTTGCGAGTAGTATCCTTGCTGCTGTTGTTGCATACATAAAAATGTCTGGTCCTTCTTTGCCACCCCTTGGCTGACAATACCCAAAAGGAAAGCCTCTGGTTTCTTAGTGAAAGTATATTTAAATACCTTTTTCAATTCATTATAAATCATTTCCCAGAACGCCTTCACTTTAGGGCAGGTCCACCAGAGGTGAAAGAACGTTCCTTCACACTCTTTACATTTCCAGCACTTGTTATCAGACAGGTGGTAAATTTTTGCGAGTTTGACTGGGGTCATATACCATCTATAAATCATTTTCATTACATTTTCTTTCAGAGCATTACATGCAGTAAATTTCAATCCATTACTCCACAGCCTTTCCCAGTCCTCAAACATAATATTATGCCCAATATCCTGTGCCCACCTTATCATAGCCGATTTAACCATTTCATCTTGTGTATTCCATTCCAACAGCAAGTTATACATCCTTGAAAGTATCTTAATCTTTGGTTCTAACAATTCTGTTTCTAATTTCGATTTCTCCACCTGGAACCCTAGTTTCTTATCATTTTTAAAAACTTCTTTAATCTGAGCATAATGTAACCAATCTCGCACTTTGTCTTTCATTTTCTCCAAACTCTGCAATTTCCAATTGTCTCCATCTGTTTCTAGTATTTCCCAATATTTTGGCCAGTTGGCCTCCATAGTGGGTCTTTTTCGGGCCTTAGCTTCCAAAGGTGAAAGCCACCTTGGTGTTTTATTTTCCAGCAAGTCTTTATATTTTGTCCAGACATTAAACAGTGATTTTCTAACAATATGGTTCTTGAAGGCCTTATTTGCTTTTACTTTGTCATACCATAAATATGCATGCCATCCAAAAACATTGTTAAACCCTTCCAAATCCAACACATCAGTGTCTTCAAGAAGTAGCCAATCTTTTAGCCAGCAGAACGCTGCGGCTCGTAATACAACTTTAAGTCCGGCAGGGCAAAGCCCCTCTTTGTTTTGCATCAGTTAGTATCTTAAACTTAATTCTGGGCTTTTTGCCCTGCCAGACAAACTTCGAAATGTCTCTCTGCCACTTCTGAAAGCACTCCATTTTGTCCAAAACCTGAAGTGTTTGAAATAAAAACAACATTCTTGGCAATACATTCATCTTAATCGCAGCAATTCGGCCTAACAAAGAAAGTTTCAATTTTGACCAACTGTCTAAGTCTCTCTTAATTTCTGTCCAACATTTTTCATAATTATCCTTAAATAGACTTAGATTTTTGCTGTTATGTTTACCCCTAGGTATTTTACTTTTTAACCACATTAAGTTCCGTCTCATTCTGAAACCGTTCTGACTCTGTCTCAGTCAAATTTTTCCCAAAACCTTGGTTTTCTGTTTATTTAATTTAAATCCCGCCACCCGACCAAAGTCATTAATCAATTGTAATACTCTTTTCGTACTAGGCTCTGGCTTCTGCAAGGTCAAAACCAGGTCATCTGCAAAAGCTTTTAGTTTATATTGTTTCTGACCAACCTGAATTCCTTCCACCAACTGGTCCCCTCTAATCATGTTCAATAGCACTTCCAGAACCGAAATAAATAACAAAGGGGAGATAGGGCAACCTTGTCGTGTCCCTTTTTCAATTTTGAACTCTTCTGTAACCACATTATTAACTATCAGTTTAGCTTTCTGTTCTGAATATATCGCCTCAATCCCATTCTCAAAACCCCGTCCCACTCCCATCTCTTTTAAGTTTCCCATCATAAATTTCCAAGAAATATTATCAAAGGCCTTCTCCGCATCTATAAAAATTAAAACTGCTTTTGTATTTATGTCAGTTTGGAGAAGTTCCAAGATATCAATAATGTTCCTTGTGTTAGCAAACAGATGTCTACCTGGGAGAAAACCGGCCTGGTCCTTATGAATTACTTCATTTAAAACTTTTTAAATCTACTGGCCAAAATATCTGCAAATATTTTGTAATCCACATTTAAAAGGGAGATGGGACGGTAGTTCTTCAGTTGTGTCTTTTCAGTTTCTGACTTTGGTATCAATGTGATAAACGCTTCCTTCCACGAATCCGGTGCCCTCTTCCCTCCATAATTTCATTGCTAACCTCCATCAAGGGTTGTATCAAATAGTCTTTTAGTGTCTTATAATACTTGGAGGTCAGCCCGTCTGGCCCTGGAGATTTGCCAAGTTGCATGTTCTGAATAGCTTGTTCAATCTCCTGTCGTGTTATTTTAGAGTTCAGGGTTGTCCTATTTTCTTGTGACAGTTTAGATAATCCATTTTTGGCAAAAAATGGAATTATCGCGACTTCGTCGTGCGGCCCTTGGGTATATAGTTTTTTAAAATATCTCTGGAAACACTTTCTAATGTCCACTGGATTCTGAATGTTTCTTCCATCGACCTCTAAATTTGTAACCGTATTTAGTCTTTGTCTTCTCTTCAACTGCCAAGATAGCAGTTTTCCACATTTATTCGCCGACTCAAACGTTTTTGTTTCATTAATTTAATCTTCCATTCAATTTCCTGATTTATCAATTTAGAATATTGTGTTTGATACAGTTTAATTTCTCTCAGAGTTGGCTGTGACTTTGGATTCACTCTTAATTTCTTCTCTAATTCTTTTATTTTATCCAAAATCTTGTCTTTTTTCTCATTTTGTGTTTTTTTCTTTACTACATTCTGTTGTATCAGGAATCCCCTCATGACAGCTTTGCTTGCGTCCCAGACGATTCTTTTTTCCACCGAATTATTCATGTTTATCTCGAAATAGTCTTTCAAAACTTTTTGGGCCTTCTTGGTAATTTCCTGGTCTCTAAACAAATTGTCATTCATCTTCCATCTAAAGGATCCAGTTGGTAGTAGTGTCATATCCATCTTTACTGCGTTGTGGTCAGAGCAGGTCTTTGGGCAGATTTCCACTTTTCTAACCCTAGGTGCCAGGCCTCTAGAGATCCATATTTGGTCGATTCTTGTCCAGGTCAGTTGGGCTTCAGAAAAGAATGTTCCTTCTCTACCTAGTGGGTTCTTTGTTCTCCAAATGTCGATCAAGTCCATATTGTCAGTCATTTCAAAAAAGGTTTTAGGTAGTCTTCCATCTTTTGTGACATTTTGACTTTGCGACTTGTCCATGTTAGTTGACACGACCCCGTTCATGTCTCCCATCATTATGATGTTGTTGTAATCCAGATGATCCAGCATTGTCCCCTGCAACTTCTTGTAAAATTCCGATTTCCCTTCATTGGGCGCATAGATTCCTAATATCAGCAGTTTCTCTCCTTGATATTGTATCTCAATAGCCAAAATCCTTCCATGTTCATCTTTAAATAGAAATTTAGGTGACAGGCTCTCTTTTGCATATATCACCACTCCTCTCTTCTTCACTTTGTCCGACGAAATAAATTCCTGGCCCAATCTTTTATTTATTAACACTTTTCTGTGGAGCCTCGTCACATGTGTTTCTTGTAAACAGATAATGTCCAATTGTTCTTTTTTTAATATATGAAATATTTTCTTCCTTTTCTCCGGAATGTTGCAACCATTAATGTTCCAGCTCAACAGTTGCAGAGACATCCTGGATCTGTCTGGTTATTTCTCCCGGGGTGGTGTCTTCTCTGGATCTTCAAGTTCCCCAGGTGCAGGTATTGATGCTGGCTTTGCCCCAGGCCCGGAAGGTAGTTCAATTCCTTTATGTAGGTCCTCTCCGTATGTAGCCAGAAATTTATCTCTCTCTTCCAATGTTCTAATTTTGACCTTTCTCGCTCTAAAGGTAAAAGATAATCCTTGGGGAAATTCCCACCTGAATGGAATTGCGTTGCTCCTTAATAGTTTAGCAAGTTCAGAGTAGGCGGCTCTGAGATCCAACAGTTGTCTTGGAATATCTTTATATATCTCAATTCTTCTATCCAAAACCTCCAGTGACTTTTCGTAATGTAGACCCAAAATCTTATCCCTTTCCTCCTTCGATCTCAATGTAATCAAACAATCCCTGGGCCTCTCCTTCTTTATAAATCTTCCAAGTCTGAAAGCTGACACAATTTTAAAGTCCTTTTCTTCCAAATTCCAGAACTTGGAAAGTTCTTTGGTCAAAAACTCAGTTAGATTTCCTTCTTCTGCCTCTTGTAATGATCTAATCCTCAAATTATTCTCACGATTTCGCAGTTCTATCATAGAAAGATAAGTCTGATGTTCCCCAACTTGTTTAGTGAGTGGTCTTACCTCTTGCTCTAAATTTTCCAATTTTTGTCTGGTATCCTCAGCCAATTTTCGGTTTTCTACTGAGGCCTCCGTTAACTGTCCAATTGCTTGTGTATTCTGTCCCACCTGTGTAGTTAATTTGTTTAGACAATCTGTATTTTTATCAATCTTTGCTGATTGCGCATCTACTTTCTTGTCCAAAGCTTCCAATTTTTCAAAGATTTTTTCTAGCACAGAAACAGATGCTCCTGAGGCCATATCTTCCAATTGTAACTGCTCTGCTTCACCCTCTCCCTCTTTTGCCTGTGGCAAGGCAGCTTCTTCAAGTTGTACTTCTGAGGGCAAAGTAGGCACAGATGATCTACGTGTCTGCGAGGCTGAGGTTAGAGTTGTTAGAGTTGTTTGTCTGACTCTTCCTCTTCTTCTTGTACCACTCATTCCAATGTTATCTATCAGTCAAGGTCACACTGAGTTTTTCCCACAGGAATAGAAAGGCCCAGAGCAAGCAAACAACAAGGGAATCGAAAGTAAATGTATTTGTAAAGTCACTGTTTTAATCCAATCCTCTAGAGGGAGCTTAAGATGTCTTTCAGAGTCTGATTTAATGTCCCAGAACCTTCCAATATAAGTATTAAGCAGAGTTTAAAAGTAATCACTTTGTTGCAGACAGTGCTTATTTGTCTCCAAAAAGAATGTTTCAAATTTAAAAGGTCTCAATACCCTCAGATTGTTGCAAATTCTAATATACAGTATCCAAATCAACACTGACAGCTCGCTCTTACAGTGCTCAAGCAATCCTGACTCTGGGTTTCACCTTCCAATTTGTAATCCAATAAAAGGGGGAAAGTCAAGTGCAAATAAAAGATCCAAATCTTTAGCTTACTGGTTTTACTTTAAATTGTAAGTTCCATAGATGCTTGGCTGTGTAGAGTTTAAAATCTCTTTCTTTCAGCCTCCACTCCTCCGCCTTAGTTGCTTTTTTTTTTCAAGTTCAATGGCTGCGGAAGACGGACTTCCTGTTTCCACGTCTCTCCGCTTTCAGCCAAGTTCAAGCCGAATTAAACCTTCTCATTTAAAATTTGTAATTCCAAGTGATTCAGTCTTTACTCACGAATAAGTTGTTTTCTTCCAGGTCCGAATTTTAACAGGAAAAGGGATCAGCGCTCACCGGCAGCAGCAGCGCGGCTTCACTCCGCTGACTGTGAAACGGCTCTCAGCGCCGCAACCCCCCTCCACGCTCCGGAGCCCCTTACGAGGCTCCTTCTGCGGTTGGAGGGCTGCTCGTGGCGCCCGCCGAGCCTCAGGACCCCAGGCTCTTGCTGCCTGGGGTTTTCCTCGTTGGGTCTCCGCTTCGCCGTAGCGGACGACCCGATTTCAGCGGAGCTTCCTCTCCCGTCGGGAGAAGACCGCCATTGCCGTTCGCGCCGCCCCCCGGAAGTCTGATACACTAATACTTTGATTTGCTTATATTCTTACGTAATTTCCTTAAACACTAAATGTAGCAATATAGTTCTTGGTGTTTTCTTCTGCTTAGAATGCACAGATAAAACCAGTCAGAGTTGAGGACCAAAGAATGATTTGGTGATTATGTTTATCTTTCATCACCATCTCCATAACACACTAACATCTTTGTATTACAGGATACCTTCAAGTATAGTTATCCTCCATTGGTTGATGATGATTTTCAAACTCCATTGTGTGAAAATGGACCCATGACTGGTGAAGATGAAGTTGAAACCAAAGAAGAAACAGATGTAGATAACAAGGAGAGTCCAGATTCTAATGAAGAACAAGCACTTAATTCAAAAAAGGTATCCCTGGACTGAAGGTTACATAGGAAAGAATGATACAAACAAGTATTTTATGGCAACCCTCCAAACATTCAGTGTTAAATTAGTACAGTGAATAAAGCCTAAAGTGTCATTGGTTGGTTATTATGTTCTTGCTGTCAAGATCAAGAAACCAGCCCAGAAAATCATAGAGTTGGAAGGGACTCTGAGGGTAATCTAGTCCACCCCCCTGCAATGCTGAAATCTCAACTACAGCATTCCTGACAGATGGTCATCCAACCTCTGCTTAAAAACCAGCTCCTGAGGGAGACTGCTCCACTGTCGAACGGCTCTTACTATCAGAAAGTTCTTCCTTAGTATCTCATTTATTGTAACTTGAAGCCTTACTACCTTCTGGAGCAGGAGAAAACAAGCTTGCTCCATCTTTCATGTGACAGCTGTTAGTAATAACAACATTAACAACAATAATAAAAAAGTTATATGCTGCCCGTCTGACTGGGTTACCCCAGCCACTCGGGTGGTGTTCAACAAATTAAAACACAATTTAGATTTACACAGTTTAGATATTTGAAGATTGCGATCATATCTCCTCTTAGTCTCCTCTTATCCAGGCTAAACATACCCATCTCCCTCAACTGTTCCTCATAAGGTTTGATTTCCAAACCCTTTATCATCTTGGTCATCTGCCTTTGCACCCATTCCAGTTCATCAATATCCTCCTTAAATTGTGGTTCCCAGAACCGGACACAGTATTTCAGGTGTGATCTGACCAAGGCAGAATAGTGTGGTACTATTATTAGGTGTAGAATCTGACATTTGTCCCTATTGAAATTTCTTTTATTAGTTTGGGCCCAGTTCTCTATAATCTGTTAAGGTAATTTTGAAACCAAATTCTGCCTTCAGCGGCATTGGCTACCCCTCCCAGTTTGATGTCATCTGCAGATTTGATAAGTATCCTCTCAATTCCTTTGTTCAAGTTGTTTATAAAGATGTTGAACAACAACAGGTTTGGGTCAGAACCCTGCGACACCCCTAATCATTTTTTTCCAGGATGATCCTTCCCAGTACCCTAATTCTGTGCCTGTGAATGTGTTGCTTAGCTGTTAGCATTATGCACCAGTTATCCAGGAATCCTAAGCAATCCTTCTGAGATACCAGGAGACTTTGCCTAGAGGAGACACTTCACACACAAACACACACTTTCCTTATTTTACCTTATATGAGAACTGGAGTTACTTTGTGGAGCATACACACTCAGCAAAATTTGCATGCTTTACATTTTTGAGTGGTGAACTTTAGAACACTTCATAAATGATTTAAGTGATAGAAAGTTTATCAACCTTTTCTTTTCCTGTGCCTTTTGTCTATATCTGAGCTTGGAATGTACAGAGGTAAATCTCTGCATTAGAGTAGTTTTGGTCCTGCAACCCTGAACAGAGGATCTATATAAGTTGGAGTTGTTCCTACTTATTTACTTTAAGCCTTTTTTTCTCCCTAAAGTCCTAACTACTATCAGAGATGTCTCATTTAACCCTTGGTTCGGCAACTAAAGTGGTGTCCATGTGACATGGTACTGCCTTGATAATATTTTGTCTCAGTAATTTGGGCACCTTACTTATTTGAGAGTGCATGTTGAAAGTAACACATTTGGATCCACTGTACTGCAGTTACAAGTAACATCTATGTTCACTTTTTAGAAAGTACTGTGTATGGGTTACTATGTTAAATATACATAGGTTTTTTTTCTGTTAGATGTTCCTTTCCAGTTTTGGGCATCATAGTTACCTGAATGCTCTTACAGTTTTGAAAGCATGCACTATATTCCATCACACCCCTAGCATTTATTTATTCATGTTCTTACATTAATAGCCCACTTTCATTCTGTCATGGACACCAAAGGAAGTGTACATGTGAATCCCAGATGGTCAGTTGCGCAGGCACTGACCAGACCCAGACCAATTTTCCAACTGCCAGTTACATAAAAAAAGAAGAAAATGTTAAGACAATTCATTCCATGTCTTCAATATAGTTACTTCATCATTCAGTCCTGCCAACTTTTCATTGATTTGGTCTGAAGTCTCTAGGTATTTTCCATTTCCATTTCATATATCTGATTCATTTTCTTTCCCCGTTTTATCAAACACCGATCCTATCATTTTCAGTTATCAACTGTGGAACAATACCAAGAGTCATTGGGAAATCCAGATGCACTTTTGCCATACTGGATGCTTTTGATGTTTTGGATATTATTAGCAACTCAGTCTACCTTAATATTTCCACCTTAAGACAGGCTATGGATATGATCTCTCACAATAAATTCTTCCCTGCAGCTGGAGTAATGGCTGGTGTACTTTCAGTTCTTTAGTGGCAAGAAACAGAAAAAGGGGTTAAAGATTTTTCATACAGGGGATTCCCTCATCGGTTTAATCTTTATTGCTAACCATAAATTAAGCTTTTTGCTCTGCCTTAGACACTTTAACAACTAGTTTTCCTTTGTGTTCTTAACAACAGCAACTTAGAAATTTTCAGATTAAATTTTCACCAGCCGATAGAGGGATTTCTCTAAGTTTCGGTTTTGCTTGTCCCAGAAGTGTTTGAGAGGGTTTGGATCTTTCTAACTATGGAAGGTGCACAATGGGCACAATGTCAGTTTCTCAGCTTGTCAGCTCATTTTAGCTCCTGTTTAAGCTGCCAGGCATAGACAGCGGAAAATGGCCTTGATCAAAGTATTTGAGGTTGCTCCCAGATCACTCTTATCTTCCAGAGTTATGAATAGTCAGACCATCTGTCTGACTATTATCAGTCACCACATGATTATCTTCTGTCAGAGGAGAGCTAACAGAAACAGCCAAAACGCCATTCCTCTCTGGAGTCCCCAAGTTCGTCAAGATGTTGGAATAATACACATGTAAACAAAATTGTTTAATTTGTATAGCTGAAAATTGTGCTTGGATTTCTGATAAATTTCTGATAAATGTGATGGAGTGGGGCAGAAAATTGGAAGAAGACTAGGAAACCTCAGACACACCAAGGCATCTTAAGCTTAGTGTATTCCCATTTATCAAAAATAAAAACATTAGCTTCATTAAGTGAAAAACTTTCAATATGTATAAAACTCTGTTTACTTTATATCAAACCCAAACAAAAAATTGTTAAATGTAGGTTTAGTTAGTGATAACTTTCATTTAGTGAATGAAGCAGAGTCCATAATTTGCAGGCATGTCCTTTTACTTGATAGTAAAATATAATTGATTCCTGAAAAGTGTTCCTTGTTTCTGTTTCTCTAGGCAAATTTTGCAGAACAAACTCCAAAATCAGAAGAGTGTGAAAAACAAGATTCCAAAACAAAAAATGCAAAGAAAGCACTAACCACTTTTAAAGGACCTTTATTGCACATCAGGTATTAGTAATAATTTCATTAAAAATGTAGTTCTTTCCATATTGTAATATTGCTGTTCTGTGTCTTGAAAATTACTTGAATGTGAAGGGAAAAATATTTGATATTTTAAGAATTGTTTCACATTTGATTCTGAGGTCTTCTCTGAAGCTCATGATGTTTCTTTATGAAGGACACGGTGGTGTTGATGAAGTTAGGGTTCTTTTGGCAAAGAGGTTCAGACACCTAGATTTCTGATGAATTTGGAATATGTTGGATACACATTTTGAGTGTATTATAGCTGCCTTTCTCCACCCCTCACAGCAGTATCCTATTATGTAGTCAGTCAGTGTTAGGTAGTTATAGTGTGGGACTCAAATACTGTACCTTAAGTGGAGAAAAATGAGATCTACAAAATTGCTCTGATTTTAATTATTACTTTGTTAATTTGTATAGTGCAGAAAAGTTTAAATTGAACTGTAACACCTGTTGAAGTATAGATGTTTACTTTTACATATGCTGTAACATAAAGCTTGTAGAAAATATCCTGATGTGTCGTAAGAATTTGAAAGCATTTGAAAATATGACTGTTCCATTAGAAGTTTGAATTCTTACGAATTTGAAAGCATTTGAAAATATGACTGTTTCATTAGAAATTTGAATTAAAGTTTTTGTTTATACAAATCTGGCATCAATCTAGATTTTGGGGAAGCAGTGGGAAATCTGTAGCAATTGCATTATTGTGATGTTGATTACATCTAAAGTTTGTACCACATAGGTTTCTGAGCAGGTAATTGAAGATAATTTTGGAACACAAACTTCTAATATGGCCTAGGAACATTCCAACCTAAGAAACATAATTCAGAACTTCTAGCATTTGATTTTGTCACTAAAATAAATTCTTCATGTGATTATAAATGAATGATTGAAAAGTTCATTACTTCCACTTGTCTTCCAGAAAAGAAAGGATTATTTCATTATTTCAGCCCAGTTATGTCATGTATATCACCCAAGCATTTGATATACATACATCAACATTGCAATCAGGAATTCCATATACTATAGGCAAGCAAGTGCATGAAATTCATTGTGGCAGTTGAGCAGGTTGGTAGAGGAGTAATACAGCACTCTGAAACCAAGCAGACTGCTGGAGGAGTGAAACCCCTTCATCTTCACCTGGCGTAGAAGTGCAGTTTTCCATACCTTTTCAGCCAGCCAGTCGCCAGCAGGCTAGTAACCTCACTGATCTAGGTGTCTGTAGGTTCATAATGTGTTTGTGGGTATGGGAGAGGGGGAATAGAGATTATAATAAAGATGAAATGTTCTAACATTTTTTCCAGATCTAACATGTCATAATTTGGGCAAAATATATTCCCACATTTTAAATTTCATTTTGCATTGTGAGTGTTGTTATACAGATAAGATGGTGTGCATAATTCATTATTGTAATGCCTATTTGTTGGGATCCAAAGAGCCACCTGACTGGTACTGTGCACCAAGCCTGGGGCTTGTGTTTCTCAAGCAGCAGTCCCCTATGTGTCAAACCTCTTCTAAAGATGAGGAAAGCTTAGAAAGCAGTTGTGTTACAGAATGCGAATCTACTCCTTGCATGCCTTCAGTGCATGCAAAATAGCTCTTTGGGTCCCAGGTACTGAGTTGAGTGTTAAAAGTGCATATATTTCTGCTACAAAATAAAATAGTAAGAGCAGACTTTGCCTCAGCATGTGTAAAACACTTTCGCTTTCTCTTAAAATGTTGAACTGATACAGCTATTTGGAAGTTCCTGCTGGCCATAAGTGTTGCAGCTCACAATTTTCATACGCAAGATTCTGTCTCGCCCATCTTCCATTTAAAAATTATATCCGGTAGTAGGGCTGTGAAAGCGTTTGGAGAGTTGCTGCCATTCAGAGTAGACAGTACTGAGCTAGATGGACTAGTGATGTGATTTCATGTCAGGTAACACTACACATAAAATATATATATAACTTACCCAAAAAGATGACAAACAGTTGTTTTGCCCTTGGCTTGTTGATGCTTCATGATACTTTGTTAAAATACATGTGTATTTTCCCAAACACGTATTTCTTAAAACTTTGAACACAAAATGACTCCTGGATATGATGAGTAAAATAGAAGTATGAATTGCTTTTCAAGTGAAAATCTCACTGAAAGGACTGTTAAAAGTATTTGACATTTAGCAGTATACATTGAAGGATTGGGTTAGAGCCTGTTAACTGACAGATAGTGTGTTCTAAATAAGCACAAACTTTATTTTTAAGAGAATGAATGAAGTTTGTCAACCTGTAATGCAAATGCTTTAATACAAATTTGTGATTTTTCATTAGTCCAGCAGAAGAACTGCATTTTGGGTCCAAAGAAACTGGAGAGAAGAAATGCTTGATAGTTCTCACAAATGTGACCAAAAATACAGTGGCATTTAAGGTAAATACTGTGTTTATGTGGTGATTAACCTGACTGAATAGTAACCATAATAGCTGATGAAATGGTTTTCAGAAGGTATGCATAACTTTCTATGCCAAGCTGACAAAACTGTCAAACCAGGACCAGATAAATGGTTTTAAAGGTGGAGTAACTATAATTTTTTTATATTATACTGTATAACTGGATCTCATCAAATGTTTGTCACTTTAATATTGCAGTGAAATGCCAGATAATAGCAGTGAAGTATCAGGAAAGATACCCCAAGGAAGAACATGATATGCAGTTTATAAAGCTAATGTGGAAACGTGTGTAAAACTTACATGGAAAGAGTGAGAGGAGATCTTACTCTCCCATTATACTAGAACTTGTGGTGTCCTAATGAAGAATTAGCAGTACAGTGAGTTGAGAGCAGAAGAGTATATTGTTATCTTTGGCTTAATTTACATAATTCATTACAGTGATTGCTTAGATTACATTTAAGAAGAACTGGGTGTTATCGTTGGTTATTTGTTATTGATAAGTGGTACCAAAGGTTAGTGTGAAGTGTTCTTGTTCAGGGTTACTGTCTGGCATGCTTATATCCTGTTTAGTAAACATGCAGAAGGTTCTCAAGACTCCTGCTGATTTTGCATCCTATACTTCCCTCTTTGCGCTATTGCGCGCGTGCTCTCTCTCTCTCTCTCTCTCTCTCTCACACACACACTCACACACACACACACAAGTCCTCGTTGCAAACTTTGGGCTTCCCCCAAGCCTGTTGATACCCCCCCACACACACACTTGGGAGAGTAAAGTTTGGTATTTTGTAGAAGTTAAATAGAAGATTAGTGTTCAGAAGCAAAATAACACAAATGGAGAATACTAATCAAGTTTTTGTCCTACTGGTAAGTAGGACTTTCTACTTTGTTAAATAAGAAAACTGGTAGCGTTTAATACAGTTATACTTTGTTTAGGTTAGAACAACTGCTCCTGACAAGTACAGAGTGAAGCCAAGTAACAGCAGCTGTGAACCAGGCACATCACTAGATATAATAGTATCTCTTCATGGAGGTAAGTAAAATCTTTTACACTATTGTATGAATGAAATAAACAAGTTCTGTAATGTACATTACTGGCAGCAAGCTTGGAATTCTATGTACATGTACTAGAACATAAGCATTAGTGAAACCAAATAACTGTTCAGATTTCAAATGACTGCTTCTGTCTAGTCCAAATCTCCCTGTACAACCTTTCACTCATCCCCAGTAGTGGAGAGAAAAGGCCTGTTTGCAGTCCCTTATAGGTAGAATTCCATAGGCCAAAATTTGAACAGAACAAACCCTAATAAAGTTCATTCCTCAATCTCTTTACAAATCTCTATCATTACTAGCCTGTTTCTAAAAATTCTATTGTTTATTATGCTTCCTGTAAATATGCAAAAAGTTAGCTACTGCTTAACAAATAAATATACTGTTAAAGAGGCCTCGGATTCAAGTTGTGTACTATTTAAATGACCATTTTTGCTTATCAAAACTTTGACATTTAGGGACATATTTCAAATAAGTAGCAGCCTCACTGATGTAGCGTAAAGATATTTGAGTTATTTTCTAGAATGATTAGGAGAGCACTTGGATTGACATTGATATATATATATATATATATATATATATCTCATTTGATTCTTTTTTGTGTGTATATAGTGTAAACATTATATTGAGCCCTGCCCTAGAGAATTTAAAAATTCAAAATATGCTGGATCCTATTAACATTTAATTATTGTTATTTTTTATTTATTCTGGAATTGGGCTGCATATTTAATGTTGGATGAATAAGTAAAAGGTAGTGTATTCTTTCAAAAGTGTGTGTGTGAGAGGGGGGTGGAGAGGGAGAGAGAGAGAGAGACTATTAGAATGTATACCACCTGTGTTTGAAAAACTACAGCAACTAGATTTTAGAAGAATTTATTTTAGGACAGCTGTGTGATAGGTATATGGTAAAATAAATTAATCCCAAATTATTTATATGCCCCATGAATTTGCTGTAAATCAGTTTGGGGATTTTCATGAACCTACAATTAGCTTATGTCCGCCAGCGCTTGTTATGAGATCTGAACACTGGTTACAAGATGCAATTTGAACCCACATTCATGCTTTGGAAAGCAGCCCAATTTACACCAATTCAGACACAAAGTCTGAATCCCACTTTAGAGAAATTAGTCTTTCTGCCTTTCTCTGCTACTATTATGGGGATTTTTTTTGTTATTATTTTTTTTTTTAAAAAAAACCTATCACCTATCCACCCACGCCCACTTTTGACCAAAATGAATAAAGTTTGCTGAGTAGATAAAGTCTGCGAATTACAAGGGGCACCTTGTAGATTGAGATTAAGGGGGACACCTATAATTATGAAGGGGTGAAATTTGTAGTCATGGAAGCCCCATTTGAGGGGACAAATCCAACAAGATTTCAGAAGGATGACAGCAGGTTGCTGTCTTGCAGGTACAGCCTTTATAGTTTTACATTTTAATCTCTGAATTTATCTTCTACTCTTTCATAATTCTTTTGTGAATTGGCAAATTTTGTTCAGTGCTTATAATTATTGCATATCTTCAGTAACAAACTAGCTTTTTGTATATGTAGATATAGTCAAGGGTGTGGGGTTTTTTTGCTCGTAGTGTATAAACTTTTGAAATACTGCCTAAATCCAAAGGAAGTAAAATTGTCATGTTGATTAAACAGGTTGTGCAGCTTCCCTGCAAGATCGTTTTTTGATTATGGCAGCAGAAATGGAGCAGTGTTCTGGAACAGGAACACAAGAACTGGGTCAGTTTTGGAAGGAAGTTCCAAGAAACAAAGTGATGGAACATAGGTAAGCATTTCATGTTGTTTTGGGGGACATATTGAGCTGCCTATGCAACTGAAAACTAGTGTTCCACATTGCTTAGTATCACCTTGGTAGGTAAAATTTGCCACAGATGCACCCTTGATAGGCATGGTATAAAATAAAAAATGACTTGTTGGTTCCTTCCTTAGGAGTTGCACAGATACAGCTCTTTGAAATATTTACTGCTGGTGTTTATAATTACAAGTATGGTATATATGTAAAAATGATTTACGAAGAAAGAGGAAAGTTGCCAGTAACTAACTGCCTGTTCTAGAGTAAAGAGCAGCTTTTAAACATGAAAAACAAAAAAAGCTACTGGGAGTACAGTAATGCAGCATGTGTGGCCAGCTGCAGAACATGCATGGCAAGCTTTACCACACACACACATACACAAAAAAATAATAATCAGAGCCTCTGTCTTGAAATAAGAGAGAGGAAGATAGAGGACTCCGCTAGACTGGTAAAGAAAAAGCAATTTGTATGTGTGGTGTAACAATATGCCACCAGATGGCGACGTGGAGTCCCGTTTTTCTCTACTTGTTTTCCCTGTTTAAATTTACAAAGCTTTAAACTGAAATGCTGCTTTGATGTGTCTAGATCCAGCCAGAATTATCTCTTGCCCTTCCAAGCCCCCTTCCTTTCCCTTTCAAATCTAGTACATGTGCACAGCCGAAGATGAGAGCCAGTTTCCAAAATAGTGTTCTCATCTCTCCTTTTCAGATTATATTCTCCCTAGCACGTCACTCTCAGTGCTTATGCAAGCTTCCCAAACCATTACCACTTATGTTTTGTGCAGGTAATCTTGTCCTTCTGATTGCTGGTTCCTCAGCAATATGGTTAGGTTTCCTTTTGACTCCAGCACTGTTATAATTGACGATGATCTTCCCTTTCCTGGTCACTGTGGTGGGCAGGGGCAAGGTAGGGAAGCAGAAACAAAGGCTGCATCGTTGAACATATGAAACAAATACCAGCAGGGAATGGAATCTGTGAAGCAGAAGAGGCTTGGAGAAAGAAAGAAAAAATAACCATGTCCTCTTACTATTGTACTACACTTCACTGTTCTGCTGTTTCTATTTGTCCCAGGTTAAGATGTCATGTTGTGGAAAGCAGCAAACCTTCTTCTTTAACAATAAATGAAAATTCCTTCAATGTTCCTGCAAAAACGAATGAAGATTTACACGTACAGGTAACACTTGTGCATATTAATATATAGCTTCCAGCTGGATCTGTAGGAATGTGCAGTGCATTGGGGGCTTTCAATATCCTCCTTCCTCCTGTAGCCTTTAGTGCCCTTGAAAACCTGAAGAACTGAAGGTTGGAGACTCCCCTCCAGGGTGACTGTTGCTGTATTCTAAGGAGCTGCTCTTTAAAAAGCAATAGATAGTGGGGAAGTCAGGACAGAAAGAAATGAAGTATTTTTTTACAGAACAATTTTTACAGAATTATGTAACTGGCCATTAGGCCATGTAGTGGCCACAGTATCTAATGTGAGGAACAGAAATAGTGATAAAGAAAGTACTATGAGCTTGGTATATGTTGAATGTATGGCTAGCACATAGCATGCCTTACTTATATAGTAGAACATAGGCATATTTTCAGCTAACTGATAAAATACGTGTTAGGCATTAAAATTGTGTGATTTATTTATTTATTGTTTACTCCCCCCCCCCCTTTCCAGCTAACACAGTTATTGCAAGCTAATAAAAGACTCCGAGAACAGATTGATCGTTGCGTCTGGTTCCAGCAATTGACTCTCTTGTTTATGTTTCTATTATTGGCCAGTACTACCTTTTGTATCTACTTGTTGTATGCGCCAAGGAGCTAAGTAGCAATGCTTTGTACGGTAAGCCCTCTCTGCAATTCATTTGGAAAAGGCAAAGAACCAGTACTATGAAACTGCCAAAAAGGAGATCTATATGAGACTCTCCAGAAACTGTGAATCACAAGATTGTGATCTATGCCTTTAATCAACAAGTAGAGTGACTTTGTTGATATTTATTAAAGTACAGGAAGTAAAACAGGATATTAAAGGAGTCATTTTCACTGGGCAACCTAATAACTGTTACAGAACAAAAGATGTTTATGACTTAATGTATTTTTACTTTTTCTGTCATGCAGAAGTATACAAGATGTATCAAAACAATTTGTGCATAAAATGTATTTCCCTTGAAATGAAAGTGCAAATTAGTAACGATATAGGAAAGCCTCATTTATGCTATTTGTACATAAAAGGAAATGATACATATGCTCATGCAGTTTGAAATGGAAGAACTGCAGTCTGGGGGGTGGTGGTCTTTATTCTTGCTCACTTCCCCCCCTGAAATTATTATAGATATTTAAGATTATACTATTTTGCATTGAATACCTTGTAGCCATAATTGCCTGGAAATGCCTGCAATGGTTCCAAAGAGCCAAAATAAAAGTTAGTTTTTCCAAGAATGCCATAGTACATTACTATATACCATGATACCTGAAAAAGAATTGTGCAGGAACACAACTCTCCATTCTTCAGTGTGTCTTAATCTACAGAACTAAACTAGCTAGTTCAGGAGTGCAACTATATTATGCCATGAAATTTATTGTCAGTTTCCCACTAGGTTGGTGTTCTCCTGTAATTCAAGGACAACAAATAGAACACCATAAATTATTATTTGTTATTAAGTTTGGAATAATTCCTGTAATTTCTCAAATATGTGTTGTAAATCACGTGTGATATGGGAAAAAAGTAGGAAGACACAGGTATACAGAGGAATTGCAAATAGTGCTTTTTGAAAACCATTACAAGAAAGCATTCTAAAAGATGAATAAAAACATTCCCAGTTAAACATTCCTTTTACATAACTATAACAATGCTATATGAAATTTAAAAGTAAGAGTGCTCATGTTTTGGTTAACATTTAATCTTTTGTAAATCAGACAAGTTGTAACAATACATGGTGCAGTAAGTCATGTTTGCAGATGCAGTCCTAAGATCAGTTCTCAGCGCTTCTTTCTGCTGTAGAATAATTTGAAGCAAAAAATCTAAACCAGCCTGTACTCGCAATCAGGCACTCATTGGTTATGCTCTGGAGCACATCATGTGCAGGGACTTCCTCTTTCCTTCTGCGTATGAGAAGCTCTATGTGCACATAGGCACTTTTTGCTACACTCTTCTGCTGTTCCTATTTTATGTAAAGGAAAAAAATCCCTGAGTAGCTGAGCTTCTGCATATGCAGTGATGTTGCTTCACTCCAGTGGCACTAAGCTCTCATAATTGAGGCCATAATTTATATCACATACTACTTCTTCCACTACAGTGTATCTCACCTTGATAATGCTGCTCACTCTTCTGGGTTCTTGTATTTTATTTTTAATTTATTAGTAATAACTTTGTGGGAAATGCAGTTTACTTTTACAAGTTAAACAAATTTTCAGCTATTGGTTTCAGTAGGCTTAAGTATGTATATCTATTTGACTGTTACCTTAATGTGTAGAATTTGGCTATGTTCATTTAGCTAAGCTTGAAATTAGAGAGGATGACAGCAGATTTATTTGGCTTGTTATAATAATTTTATGAGTCTGCTGGCTTCCTATATAGTGCCATCTTGTTTCAAATCCCAAACCCTAGGAAGATGGGTCTCTTGCTACCTACTCATTTTACTGAAACATTCACCAAAGGTTTTGATCACTGAATTAACTTTTATAAAATTGAACATATTCTAGACAATAATAATGCAAGATGATTTTAGTCAAGCATTCAGTGATACAGGTATGAAATGCTTTTATAGAATTTACCTTTGTGCCCATGTATTTGTTCTGTATTGGCTTACGGTTTCAGCTGATCATAAGAAACATCTTTCTTATGCAAGTCACTTCATATTTCACAAACAAGCCAAAACAATTTGATTAATTGGTCTCTCATCAGTTGCATTACCTTCAGTTAAATTCTATTGTAGTTCCTCAGCAAGTCAACTGTAAGTACAAAATATAGAATAATTCTAGTCTCAAATTATTATTTTTTAAAATGCTTATCAGTGAGTTGGATTAGATTTAATTTCACTTTGTTAAATGTTTTCAGAATATATTCATAAGCATATGCCAATTAATGCTCTTAATGTTCTGGTGCTTCAAATATTTTCAGTATTTTATTACTGTATTCATATTTTCTATGTAAAATTGATCAGATAGACAATGTTTTATATTTTAATATGTTATAAATAAATAACTGCATTTGTGAAACAAAAAGGGGGGAAAACGTATTCATTGTAGTTCTTAACAGACACAGTTTGGACATACGTTTTTTCAAAGTTCAGTTGCGTTTCTTGCTCTCTTTTTTTAGTGCAGATTGTATTTAAAATGAAATATTACATTGCCCTTCCATTCTACCTCATTTGTAACTTAAAGAAAATTCTTCAAGTTATGTAGCCCCATCGACTTTAGTACAATACAAATAACCAACCTTTAGCACATGCTGCTAGGTTGTGTTTGTGTTGTGTGCCTCCCCTCCCCCCACTGAACACATGCCTTTGCCTTTTATAGAACCAAAGGGTTGCAGGTTTTATTTCTGAGCAAATAAGCATAATATTGGGATGTTAGGAAAATCATGTTCTCTTAGGTCTGAAAAAGAGGAACATGAGAAAAGTGTCCCTGGGTATGACCAGCCAAAGTTCAGACAAATATTAGGTCAAGCATCTAGGCAATCTTACCTTTTCCTTGCCACTGCTACCCATTTTCTGGAAGTACCCTCTGTGAAGGCAAGCATGCTCTGGTTTTTAATTTTCACGGAAAGAAGGTACTTATGCTCTACTCTCAGCCAAAACAACTTCATTAACCCTCCCCCTCTTGAACTCTGAAATTTCTTTCTCAGAAAGTATAAGGAGGGCAGGCTGTGCTTTTAACTTCCTGTAAAAACAGGCCACAGAATGACTCAGAAGCATGTTCAAACTCAGGAATGGGAGCGTGCAACCAAAATCACCCCAATCATCTCATTATGTGGGTTACACAGCGAGCTGATGAATTCTAGCCCAGAGCATACAGCTCATGTGAATTTAGTTCCTTCCCTCTCTTGCCCATCAACAAAGCACTTTAATCAGCTGTAAACTTGTTCATTTTTAGCATTTCCTTCTTAGTTGTGTTGGGTTTGGGTGCGCTAGCATCTTTCCTTTAAAATAAAGTATTGCCTTTCCCTCCTTACTTCTGGGGCCTGGCACTGACTGGGAAGCAGCAGCTGCAAATAGAATACATGAATTAGCATAATAATAGGTAAACTTCCACTACCAGCATTGGGTTTCTACCTGAAAGAGCCAAACATTGGTCAGCGCCAATTCTTGCTAAAACATGTATATGCTAGCTGCTACTGCTATCGCTGACCCTTCTGACCAGAGACGCACACTGTTTACAGTGGGGGTGGGCTTTCGGTCCTCCACTTGCATGCCCAAATGCCATACTACAGATTTGGATGGAGGATTTACTAGTGGCCCAAACTCTCAACCAGCAGAGAAACCTTCTGTTCTCTGGATACTCCGAAATGGCTTCAAGTATTCATCCTCTTCACTCTCCCCACCTTTTCTACTGGAGCTCCTGTTTTAGACACTCATGAGCTAATGGGACAGTGGAATGCTCCAGACTTCCTACCTCCACCCCCCTCTTAAGACAAGTTCTCAAAGTTATCCTCTCCTCTACAGAGCCTAATCTCTGGAAAGCCAGGCAGAGGTCAACCAGCTAATAAAATATGTAAATACCGTAAATGCTTTCTTAACTACGAGGAACACTAATGAAAAATGCTCAGTATAGAAATAAGTTGTCCGTGGCCCCACAACACCAACAGCTTACTTTAGGAGGAGGAGAAAATCACTTCCAAGTAATAACAGCTTGAAGAAAAGCTGAAACACCTGTTCTACAAATCCTGAGGAGGAAAGCAAGAAATTGGGAGTGTCATTTCCCTGGCAGGAACACCAAAAAAGAGCTCAAAACAGAATGTCAGGGCTTCTTGCTAGCGATAGTGCTATTGACAAATTGCTCCAAGAAAAAACAAATTACTGCAAACAGCATCAAGTTGTGTAAAACTTACCAGATCATGCAGAGGGTCTGCGAAACAATAAAACAAAGAGCGAGGTGATGGGTGGTTCTTCCCCCTTTGTATGCAGTTCATTGTCTGTCTGAATAGAAATGACAAGCTCACTCTTAATTCATTAGGAGAGTCCTGCAGGGTAAAGTAGTGACTGATCACTACCATGAAGTTCAAACACAAGTACCAGGAGCAATTGCCACCTCCTACGCTTTTGTTTCCTGTACAACCAATTATTTGACAGGTACTCCAACTGATGCCATGACCAAAAATGTTGCTCAAACAGGAAAAACTTGATTATTGAATACGATGCCAGGCAAAAGCTTGCTGTCTTAACAACCTGCTACTGCTTTGGGTAGGCATAGTACTGGAAAGGTTGAACCACAATGCCCTAGGCAGACTTAATACAAATCTGAAAGCTGGCAGCAAGTTCTGTCACTAAAATGCATATTTGAGGAATTGTTTATTCCAGGGATGGACCTATGGCTCTTCAGATGTGGCTGGACTCCCAGCTCCAATCAGACCCAGCCAGTGGCCAGGGACGATGGGATTTCCATTCCAAAAACATCTGGAAAGCCACAGGTTCCTTGCTTTAGACATTGGCATATGCTTTTTGTTGTAGCTGTTTTGCATGCAAACAGTGAGCAACAGAAGAATAAGATGGCAATCGGGTCTTTTCCTCAATGCCAAGAGAGCCTGGCATTGAGGCAAAAGCTCCTACTCTTTGTTTTGTCATGCCTGCTTCCTTGAGAAGCATAACAATGAGCCATGACTGTGGGTTGTCTTCAACTAAATCCTACTCAGAGTAGACCCACTGAAATTAATCTACCGAAGTTAGCCATGTCTATTACCTTCTCTGACTTCTGGCTTTGCTGGCTGGGGTTGATGGAAGTCTGCAGTATCAAAGCTTCTCAGCCCCGCTTAAACAACCAGCCTCATTAAAGAAATTGTACATTTCTCCAGAGATGGCCACCTGCTATATTGACGTAAGTGCCTAAAAGATATCAGAACATACTGCAAATCCACTCCTCTTCCCAGTGGGGGAGGAGTTGTTGTGGACCACGTGGCCACCCACTCCCCTCCAGGGGCGGGGGACGAAGTCCTGCATCCCCCAGAGGTTCCCAGCAAATATCATTCGCCTGCCAGCAAATCTGCTGGCTGGGGGGGGGGGGTGGCCGGGCCCCATTTAAACTGAGGTGTGAGCTGGAGAGCTTCCTCTTGGCTCACTTCCTTGATCCCCCGCCCTCCCTCCCTATTCTCAGGTTTCAAATTTGGCCTTGCTATGGACCTCGGTTGGTTGCCGTTGAGGGGCCTGGTAGGAATTCTTCCACTTGGCAAATTGGTTTGGGCCATTTGGTTTTCACCTACCTCGTAGCAATCGTCGCAACTTTGTAAGGTTTGGCGGTTCGGCATTGGTTGATCTTATGATGGGGGAGGGGAGGTGTGGCCATCACCTGCCCCTCCAAGCTTAAGGGTATTCCGTTAAAGGAATCTGGGGGTGTGGATCTTGTCTGAAGTCCGGAGCTGGGCTAGGGCCATGCCACGAACCCGTCAGGAACCCAGAGGGAGCTAAAATTGGTTTGCATCGACAGGGCTCCCCCTACCAGTGGTTGACCCTTACAGGACTCCCTGCATGACGGGCAGGAGTCAGATATAGTCTGGTCAATTCCAATGCCTAAGCCAATACTGCTCACATTCTGTAACCAATAAAGTTGTGGCCTAAATTTGCCCAATAGCATTAACCTAATATCTGTGTCCTTGTGTCTTATTCATCAACAAGAGGGTAGTCTCGGGGTCTCGACACGCAAACAGCTGATTTCCATCCCAAAAATAAACCAGCTAGTAGTAACCGCAGCAATCATCCTCTGAACCACATCCAGTCATTTATCTCCAAATAGCAAGTTCACTGTTGATCATTCAGTGTCTACATCATCATGATCACTTTGCAAACACCCACATTTTATGTCCTCTCCAGCTCGATAGATTGCAGTTTGCACATTCAGCTGAATATTGCTTAACTGTATGCTTTTAACGGGCCACTCCACTGGAAACCGCTCCTGCTCCACTCGTGTTCTCAAAATAACAAGAGATTCAATGCATTTCTTTTCCTCCATCTTTTAAGGAGACTATTCTGCCCCAAACTACTAATAGCAACAGTAGCATTGATGCTCAATTTTTTTTTAATTTCACTAATAACTTTGTTAAGTCCTAACTATTAGCAGTTTGGATGCAAAATTATATTCAAGAAAGCAGTGTGCAGTAAATCAAACTTAAGATCTTGGAGATGGCCCCTAAAAATCAATGAAATATTTAGTAGGTATGTGAAATTCCCTTGCATTCCATTGTACAGAAATGGGTGGGAATTTGATTTTACTGTTCCACAGTTTCTGTACCCAATAGCCAGATCCTGTGTTTCTGATTTAAATCAATCAGCACAGCCAGCTTTTATCAAACGGCATTAAGTTTTCAAGTGTTTCTGCTTTTGCAGACGTCAGGTAAAGCCTTTTGAAATATTTTTAGTGTGGGTGTTTAAAGGATTGTACAGCTTGACTGACAGAGGATATGAAAAAGAAGGTAATTATCTCAGGAGCATACTGGACTGTATCTCCTTTGCTATTCTTGTTCGACAAGGTGCTAGCTGTGGATCAGGTGCAATGCTCGCTCTTGGAATTTGCAGGAAAGGCTAAATACGTAGCAGAAACTTTAGAATTTCCCCGTGCCGGCAAATAGTGAAGGCTAAACTTGGGAGACCTTTGCACAAAGCTGTTAAATGCTTTTTTGTGGCCTTAAATGCGGATGTGAGAGGTCTCTGATGCTCAGCCTGACATTTGGATCTCCTACCTTCAGCTATTCAAGAGAAGGTACTTTTGACAATATGACATTCGACAGCAGCCCACCCAACTCATTTTAGCGTGGTTTTCTGAGTTCCTTTTTTTAGAAGGCAGAGAAAGAGGCCCCAGAACAAAGTGTGGGGTCAGTCTGCAAAAATCAGTTGCCCTGACTTGCTTTAGCAAAAGCACAATTGGATACAACTCAAAGAGATTTAAAGTGTGTTGATTTTGCATTAGTCATTTGTGCTTTTATGCAGGTTCACGATCTCCATGTGCTTTTCCTTATAGGATGGATTAAAAATGAGACAAAACAAGCAAAAATTGCTTTTTTAAATTATTTGGCTAATACAGCAGTATTTTGTCACTTGCCTGCAGTCTCAATCAGGGTGAATCATTCCTGTGATGCTGGAAAATTATGGAATGCAGTGTGACAGGTTTCAATTCTCCAATGATATTTGAGTGCCCTGGTGCTGGTTGCAAGGCTTTCATTTTTTATGGAAAGGGAGCGCTCGTTTTGCAAAGAGAAACGTTCCAAGTGTCTGTAGAGAGAAAGGAAGAGACAGGCTTTTGCTGTTTATAATGCCTAAAGGACCAAATACGCAAGAAACGACACACAATTAAACAAACCCTGCTTTAATGTTTCATGACATATTTTATTATGAAAGAACCCAGCAAAACTTTTCAACTTGAGTTACATTGAAGTTCTCAAGCAATGCAACAGACACAAACAATTCATTTTTCGAATTGTGATTTCCACAGAGGATTCTGAATGTGGCAGACAAGGCAGGGCTTGAATTATAGGGGCAGGGAAGCCCCCTTAGCTTTTACTACAGTCCCCTTTTACCTACTATTTTTAAAATGGTACGATTTGACTGTGGATTTCATTAATGACCCTCCTAACTTCCCCCATAATTCTGGTAGGGGAAGGCAGGTTTGTTGAATTTGTTTCAAAAACATTGGAATTTTATTTTTAAAGATGCAATTATACACTAGTTCACAGCTGCGCTGACTTGCCTGTGAAAATGCAAGCACAGCGATACCCATAGAGTTTCATGCAAAACAAAAGGGAACAATTAAAAACCACACAACTAAAAGGCAAGAATTAGCATCTGGTAGTTTTATTTAAAGTTCCAAAGGTGGCAATTTGACCAGGGCCCGAATGCCCGCCATCAGCTCATTGGGCACACAGAAACACACCCTGCCTCCTAAAGCTTTGAAGGATACTGGAAATAGTTTTGTAATGTTGTGGAGGAATTTTGGCAGAGAGAAACACGCATGGCTTGTTAGCTTTAAGTAGCTGAGGTATGCGAAGTGAAGTTACTTAGCAGTAGTGCAAACTGTCAGGGGCTTATTATTGTTAGAAGCGTTCCTGACAGAGATGGAAGAAACAACAACTCAGAAATCAGAGCAAATTGAAGTCACAAAATGTAGCACATAGCACTAGTAGGCATGGGCGACGGAAGGGATGAGACAGGGATACGAAAGAATGTTATTACTGTGAGGTTATCTCTTACAAGACTTTACTTGCAATTACAGATAGTTTTTAGAGGTCCTAGGGGCCAGTAGTTTTTTGTTGTTATTTGAAGAGGCCAGGCACCCTCAAGTGTTCAGAGGGCTTCCCCCACCTCCCCAGTCTCTGCTGACCTTCATTCTGAGGAAACTGAACTCTGAACCCCATAACAAGCCCACCTCAGATTGTAGGGAAGCTCAGAGTTTCAGTTGCCTTCTCAGACACACTCCCAGCCTAAGTCTGTGCTCAGCTGCATGCTGAAGCCTTGTGCGCCACTGATTTGCATCCAGATGCGTTATCTCGTTAAGACATTCAAAAACCTCTAACTAGTACATTTCCCAAACAAAACCAGAAGAAGGTGTGCATCATTAGGAAACAGTTTGCATAATATGTAAATTATGCAACACAGATCTACACTAACCCTATTCATATGCAAGTAAGAGTACAGTATGGGGCAGGGGAGACAATTCTGTTCTGGTGCCAAGCCTGCCTCACCTCTGCTCATACCAGCCTAGCAACCTGGCACTCCTCTGCACATTAGAACTGACATATCAGCTATGCCTACGAGCACAAAGTCCAAAGTGCATAGGCCAAATCATATGCAATCTTAACCTGGCATAATTGGGGGGGAAAGGACTGCAGGCTATTGAACCTCCTGTTTCCACAGCACATTGTGCAAACCATTTTCTTGAACGTATGTATAGCTAGAAAGAATAATTGAATAGGAGCATAAGAAGCTGCCTTATATTGAGTCAGACCATTGGCCCACCAAGCGCAGTATCATTTGCAGTGGCCGCCAGCAGCCCTCCAGGATTCCAGGCAGAATTCTCTCCCAGCCAACAACTGAACCTGGAATCTTCTGCATGCATAGAAGATGCTCTGACCCTTCCCCGTCATTTCTAGACAAATGAGTTTTGGTTTTTAAGTCCTTAATTTTAAAAACAAGAGGATTTTATTTTTCTGCTGCCTGCGTTTAAATACTTTAAGACTAAGATTTTGGAAATGGTACCCAAACCTTCACCCAATATATGGCACAGAACAGGTTTGCTGTGAGACAGAGCTGGCCCTACCATTAGGCAGAGGGAGGCAACTGCCTCAGGCAGCTGATTTGCGGTATCATGAAAGGGGAGCATATCATTAGCTATGAAATTTACTGTTGCTGTATTTTTACAGCCAGGAAGGGATTGCGCAAATACTCGATTGTGAAATTTTCTGTCTCAGCCACCTTGGATACAAAACGGCATGACTCTTGAGGGAGATTGAAGATCATTTGCTGCTGCACCTCAGGTAGTAACATGTCTTGGACCCGCCCTGCTGTACATACATATTCAGATCATTTGCTTAATGCTTAAAAGTAGTAAGGCTTCAAAGCTTTAATCAAGTGCGGTTTGAATGAAGGCCAAATTTTGAATGTACAAATAAAGCCACTGGACCCACATTTGTACATATTACGTTAACAATGTAAGCCATCTCCTTCCTTAGCTATCTGGAAGCATTTTGAAAAAAATAAGTGCACGAGAATATATATTTGTTTTGTACCCAACAAGGAAGACTAAAGCACTGCTTCTCAAACAGGAACTTTTCATGAGATAAGAAAAGTTATTTATACAAGTACATTATTCCTAGTGATGGCTGCTTCCCTGTTCCATCAGACTCAAGAGCCCATTGGACTTGAATGATTGAGATTCAATCATTCGGCAAAGTAGCAAGTTTGAAAATGACCGTCACTTTTCACTCTGTCTCTATTATAGCGCTCGCCTATTCCTGTTATCAACGTATCCAAAGCGAGTTATTAAAGTCTCTTTTCACTAGGAATTACCAGGGCTTCTGCCTGTTTATTAAATTGAACTCTCTAATCCCTCAGTCACTGAACATTTAGTCATAATTTGTTCTCACTTTGAGAGCTGCAGTACAATGTGATGTACTGTGGAATGAGAAAAGTAATCTTTTTTCGCCAGCTGCTATCCTTCTGTTTTCCCTCTTTGAATTTATGGACTGAGCCGTTTCCTACCAAATACCAAGGTAGATCAGGTCTACCTTGATGCAGGTTTAATCTGTAGGGGCTCTTTGATTGACTGCTAATCTTCAGACAAAGCTAGTCCTGGCCCTGTGCTTACATAGAAGCTCAAGTTTCAAGGGCAGTTGAAAAAAGAAGAGTCACTGCCACACTAGATATTTATGTAATGATGTCCTTTAAAAATCCTAGTAAATGGCAGTTCTATAGTATTGTAAGTCCAGAGTCTCTTGAGCATAACAATTCTTTATAATTATTTCAACCCTTTGCAAATCAAATATTGAAAGAAAAAAAGAAAAAATTGCCAGAGACAAACTGGCTCGCCTGAATAGGCAACATGTGCTAAAAACCAAAACCTCTTCTGCTAGTGAAACAAGACATTATACAGAAGTTTTTATGTGCAGAGGGCCCAATTTGGAAGTGGGGTTTCCACGAATTAAATGTAAATTCACCTACAGAGCACCTATATTTTTAGCCAACTCCCTAGTTCTAGTGACTACGGCTATAATTGTGTATTTATTTATTTAAAATGTACCCTACTTCTCCCCTTCACAAAACAACCAACTGCGATCCAACACAAATGATCAAACTAGAGACAGCAGCCAAAACAACAACACGCAAATTGCAGGTCTCAAAATCAACACATCAAGCAGTAACAGACTCAAAAGCTTATTTAAACATGAATCTTTTCAATTAACAGTGTTTAAATGTAAAAGAGAGGGTGATAGCCTAATCTCTTGAGAGATAGTTTTCCACTTTTGGGGCATCACCACAGAAAAAGCCCTAGCGCACATTAATCAAATGAGATGGTCTCCTATGTATGCAGAGTGCAAGGTTTGTGAACATTTTTGTATTGCCACCCAAAAACAACTTTTGCAGCTAAAATTTTACACATCCCCAAAATTCAACATGGCACTAGTCCCACCCCCAGACTGGTAAATTTTCTGTTCTCTCCAATGCAGACTTACCTGGAAGTTAGTCCCCCTGAATTCAGTAGGCCTGCTTACTTCTGAGTAGACATGTATACAATTGGAGGGCATGTATAGCTCTGTGACTGGGTCAAAGGTTATATAAGAACAGGCAAGTCCAGTGGCCTGGACAAATCAATGGCTAAAGAAACAACAGGGTTGGAAAATATAAAATAGTACAGATATGCTTTTCATCCTTTCCCTTCCCCGTTTCGTTTTCTAAAATGTCCTTTTAAAATAAGTGTTCTTTCATTTAATCATACTCTGCTTGATGAAACAGCTCATTGAATCACAAGTGCCATCATAGTGTATATGCAGGCTGCTTTATAAATATAATTATTGTTATTTATTATTCATAATCACAGTGCATGATTATGCCACTTGAATAGAGAGAGTATATCTGGGTATGTGCATTTTTAATTTTATTTTTGTATTTAAGATTTCATTTCCACGGGAGCTGTCATATTACTGGGTCATTTTCTTGCTACCTAACCACGTGTGGCTTAGTTCAAGTTTATTAACAATAATCCCTGATTAGGTTGCCCCTAATCGTCTTATATTCAGAGATTTGTCTATAACACAAACACATAACTGTTTATTTTGAGATTGTGGAAATCTAGGGCTACCTTGCTTGATCAAAAGCAGAATTCTGAGCTGCTTCTCATTGTGGTAAGTACAATTTTAAAAAAGAATACCACGGAGCAATAGCTTATTAAGATATAGTATATCTATTGTTTATTGTGTCTGTATTTATTTTGTCCTTCCCAAAGAGTATATCTGTATTATTGGGTTTTTTTGTGCATTGTTAGTTTTCCATATTCCCTCAGAAAAGCCACACTGGTGCAAGCATGCCAGAGGCTGATGAGAGCCAAAGTATATGGAAGGGACCAGCATAACAAAGGCGTATTACAAATTATGATCAAAGACCTGCCTTGTCATTACTTTCAGAAAGCTTTTCTTCAGCTAGTCAGAGTAAAGTCAAGTATCACTGCTGCTCCAGGTGTGGTTTAAAAGTGACATCCTAAGACAGGGATGGGGAACCTTTTTTCTTTTTAAGATAGAAGACCTTCCCAGCAACCCCACTTGCCAGTGATGGGCAGGGCCAGAGACAGGGTCGAGAAATGAAGGTCAAGTTTAGCTATCCTCCATCTAAGCAAGCAAGAATTCAAGCATACGTTCCACCCAGGTGAAAACACTTGAGGACGCTGCAAGCCAGTGTCAATGTGGCTCGTGAAGAGCAGGTGCTAACGAAGGCGTCGTGACACCCAGGGCGGGTTGTTGCTACATAGGGTGCATGTGCGATGTCATTATGTACAACGCATGCGCTGTACGTAGTGATGCCGCACATGCGCTGTACATAGTGGTTTGCCGGCAGCAGTGCTCCAGCGCCGTATGGACGGTGCCGGGATCCTCTGCTTGCAGCTACAGCCGCGAACGGAGGATCCTCCTTTCACGGCTGTAGCGGTGACAGAGGGATCCCACCGCCATCCGTACAGCGCTCAAGTGGCACTGGTGGCAAACTGCTATGTACAGTGCATGTGTGGTGTTGTTATGTGTGACACATGCGTGTGACGCCGCACATGTGCTGTACATCGTGGCTTGCCACCAGCACTGGGATCCTCTGCTTGTGGCTGCAGCCGCCAACGGAGGATCCTCCAAATGCAGCTGCAGTGGCACAATGGCTGCTCCCGCCGCAATGCCCAAGCCAGGGCGGCAGGGCAAGCACCCCGCGGGGTGCCGCCTTGTCACCCTCCCAGATGTGGAACCCGGGGCGCACTGCCCCCCCCGACCCCCGTTGCGATGCCACTGGTAAAGAGGGCTGTGTAGCTGGGGAGGAAATGTAGCCTAGAAAAAGTTCCAAGGGCCATACAAAGAGATATTGAAGGCCACATCAGGCCTCACAGCCTGTGATTCCCTTCCCATTGAAAAGTGGCACTGGTTAACCAATGGCTGCCCTCTTCTTTCTCTTTCAGGCAGGAGGGAGCCATAGCTCAGCAGGAGAGCACATGTTTTGCATGCTCTTCTAGTTAAAGGATCTTGAAGGGAAAGACGCATGCCTGGGACCTTGGGGGACTGCTGTCAGTGAAGGCATTTCATCATTTGGGTGTTGTTTTGAAAGTGAGCATAAGGCTACGATTAAGCTGTTAAACAGGCCTAAAACAATGGAGCAAGGAATCTGCTCATTGGAGGCAGAATCTCTCCCTTCTACATCCTCAGAAAACATATGGGACAGTCCAACACCTATACTCTTTCATCCAAACAGTTTTCCCACCCACCCCTTTTCTTGTAGTAAATTCTCCCAAAGAAGTGGGTCTCTCAGCAGTGCTCTTTTCAGCTGAGCACCTAGACTAAATTCTCTCTAAAGATCTTAAAGATTTCCCAAACCCTTCTCAGAAGTGGTAGGGTTAAGGATTTTGGAGGCTTTAATTAGCTTCATTCCAGAGTTTATATATTTCTTGAGATTACTTTGAGGCGGCTAAACCTCCAGTTCAGCCGTTCCTAAGTACCTTGTGCTAATCTTCCACCAGAAGTGCTCATTGTTTGCCCCAAATTCCAGGAGCTTTATGGGAAATAAGTTAGCACATTCAAATCAAATCAGTGCACTAATGATTTCCTGTGAAACATGCCTACCTACAAGCAGCATTCAATAAGAATCTTTCGTTGCTCTGTTGTATATGTGACCTACAGCCCGATCCTTTACATGTTAACTCACAACTGAGGTCTCCTTGTCGAACTGTTTACCTCATGCTTTTACAAATTTGAATGCCTTTGAAATGTTACGAATAAGTTGCAGTTGAGCGCCAACCTGAATAAAACATTGTAAGACAGGTAAGCCCCACCCCAAATTATTGATCACATGACGTGACACATGCATACCATTTGAATGACAATGCCCATCAACTTTTTTGGGGGTGGGGAAAGTGGCCCCCTCAAATATTTCAAGGGGGGGACCTCAGCCCCTAGGAGTTGGCTCCTATGGCCATGTGATAAAACTCGGGTATCTCTTTTTTCCTTTTTGCTGTACAATTTTGGTGCGGCACTATGTAAACAACTCAACTGACATTCTGAGACTGGAAGGAAAGACCTAATAGGATGCCTAATAGGCCATTCAGCATCTTTTCCCCCCCTCCCTGCTTCCCCAAATACTTGTGAATTCTTTTTCATCCAAAGCTTCCAGAGCACTTTACAGACTTGGCAGCAGGCATTTATAGAATGACCTCGCCACAAGGGATGGTGTGTGTTTTTTCTCCCCCTCCTCCTTGGTTAGCAGTTAGTTTATGCCCTTAGGAATGAGACTTCATGCTCACTCCAAGATTTTAAAACACACTTACATAATCACAGTACTTCTTGTTAACTATTTAAACATCCCACCCAGCCCTGTGACAAGACTATGCTGGTGTGTATATATAGGATGGTGAAGGAAATCTCTTTGTCCTCCTAACTTCCCATTCCTTAATATTTGCTCTGGGGTGATCCAAGATGCAAACCCCAGAATGCTCATTTTATTGCCTGCTCCACCCTCCTGCTTATCTCCACTTCACATGGGTCAATAAAATAAGGTGTCACATCTGCAACATACTTTTAAAGCACTCTTATACCAGTCATGGCTTCCACCAAAAGAATCCTGGGAACTGTAGTTTGTTAATGGTGCTGAGAATTCTTAGGAGGTTCTTCACAGAGCTCCCTGACCAGCTGTGGAAAATCTCCACATAGCTACACCTCTGTTCAGGTAAACTCCATTCGCAAAGCATGAGTTTCTAGACACTAACTTGCTCCTTGTTCATGTTTTGACTTAATGCATGAAATAAGGAAGGTACTGGGTACGGGAGAGGCAAGTTAACCCTGTAGGGCCAGACATGTTGGGGGGCAAGATATTGGAAGTCTAGGGGAATCCTTGGGCCCTGGAATATCATGCTGCCAATACTCACAGCTCATAGGTTCCTAATTGCAGAACAAGACAGCAGTCAATATCTAACCTCCTTCTGCCTGCTTGCTTCCAAAATCTCACTGATTGCCTAAGAAAGTGGTTCAAGCAAACCTCCTAGCCAGATTTCAGAGCTGTCTTTAGCTGACATGACTCGACCTCAGACTTGGTGTCGGCTGTCCTATGGTATCAGATGACATTCTGTTTTTTGTTTTGTTTCTACCTCTCTTGTCCCTAAAGAGATGTCTTCTTTCCGCTCCCTTTGTACCAGCAAGTATCTGATATTCACTTCTGACATTGTCAGGTTGATTTATCTTAACTGGACCAGAAGAATTTTCTGCAACACTTCCCTGTGGGATGTCTCATTGTGCCCTGTAACGATAACTTTCTGCATCCTTTTTAGTTGGGACCTCAACAGGGTTGGAAGATGGCAATGCCTTCCTAACCCACTGTAGCTTCCCTTTACAGAGACCCTGGCTGCGTGTCACCTCATCACATGAAACTGTTCTGAAGAAGAGCAAGACTCTGACTGTTGAGAATTATGTAGGTTCTTCAAGGAGAAAGTTGGAAGGGATTGTAGACCCATTGATCACCTTTCTCCAGTATTCATTCATGTTTCTCGTAGGTCCACTAACCACCTTTCTCCGCTGTTGACACTTATCTCTCTCTCAGTTAGTGGCTATTTTTTCTGAGTTTTTGGGAAGAGCAACCACAATCAGCTGCCAATGAAAGAAAAGATAAAGAAGAGATGGCACAGATAGCTGTACAATCCCCTCTAGCTTCCTCTGGCTGTCTTTGAGGGAGCCATTAGAATTCTCAGTAGTCAAGTGTGCCCCATGATATTCTTGACATAACAGGCATCACTGAAACCTGGTGGGATAAGTCCCATGATTGGAATGTAATAATGGAGGCATACAATCTATTTCAGAGAAACAGACCAGACAAGAAAGGAGGAGTGCCCCATGATATTCTTGTAAAGAAGCTGGTAAAATGCGGTCTTGACTATGCTACCACTCAGTGGATTTGTAACTGGCTGACTGACCGAACCCAAAGGGTGCTCATCAATGGTTCCTCTTCATCCTGGAGAAGAGTGACTAGTGGGGTGCCACAGGGTTCTGTCTTGGGCCCGGTCTTATTCAACATCTTCATCAACGACTTGGATGATGGACTCAAGGGCATCCTGATCAAATTTGCAGATGACACCAAACTGGGAGGGGTGGCTAACACCCCAGAGGACAGGATCACACTTCAAAACGACCTTGACAGATTAGAGAACTGGGCCAAAACGAACAAGATGAATTTTAACAGGGAGAAATGTAAAGTATTGCACTTGGGCAAAAAAAATGAGAGGCACAAATACAAGATGGGTGACACCTGGCTTGAGAGCAGTACATGTGAAAAGGATCTAGGAGTCTTGGTTGACCACAAACTTGACATGAGCCAACAGTGTGACACGGCAGCTAAAAAGCCAATGCAATTCTGGGCTGCATCAATAGGAGTATAGCATCTAGATCAAGGGAAGTAATAGTGCCACTGTATTCTGCTCTGGTCAGACCTCACCTGGAGTACTGTGTCCAGTTCTGGGCACCACAGTTCAAGAAGGACACTGACAAACTGGAACGTGTCCAGAGGAGGGCAACCAAAATGGTCAAAGGCCTGGAAACGATGCCTTATGAGGAACGGCTAAGGGAGCTGGGCATGTTTAGCCTGAAGAAGAGGAGGTTAAGGGGTGATATGATAGCCATGTTCAAATATATAAAAGGATGTCACATAGAGAAGGGAGAAAGGTTGTTTTCTGCTGCTCCAGAGAAGCGGACACGGAGCAATGGATCCAAACTACAAGAAAGAAGATTCCATCTAAACATTAGGAAGAACTTCCTGACAGTAAGAGCTGTTCGACAGTGGAATTTGCTGCCAAGGAGTGTGGTGGAGTCTCCTTCTTTGGAGGTCTTTAAGCAGAGGCTTGACAACCATATGTCAGGAGTGCTCTGATGGTGTTTCCTGCTTGGCAGGGGGTTGGACTCGATGGCCCTTGTGGTCTCTTCCAACTCTATGATTCTATGATTCTAAGTCTGGTCCAGACAAGCAACCAAAGGCCTCTCAAAGAAAGGGGCAGTGAGACTGCACCCATGGCCCCATTCCACAGTTATGTGACATTGGCCCCAATCTTGATGTGGCATGGCTTCCCCTGGGGTTATGCAAAAAGGACCCTGTCATGTGTATCCTGGAAGTCACTAAGGCCATACCCTCACTGAGGTCATGTCCGTATTTTCACCATTGAAAATATGGACATCCTAAGGAAAAGTGGGACATTCCATGATTAAATAAGAAAAATATTGTAAGTGGGGTTTGGAGAGAGAGAGAGAGAGAGAGAGAGAGAGAGAGAGAGAGATTGTACCCAAAGGGTTTTTTTTTTCTCTTATTGGCAGGTGCCCCACATTTGATTCCCAATAAAATACAACAGAACAATTTTTTATATGTCTTTTTAAAGCATTCAAATAAATGGCAACAAGCACAATGTCATGGGGAGCCAGACTTGAGTATTCAAAAATGATAAACACACACATGAAATGAATGGACTTGGGAGCTTGTGTCTGCCTACCGAGTTGAACTTGATCATAGATAAAATGCAAGCTCCCAAGACTTGAATGCCTGTAGACGTGTGAGTGGCTGCCACAGCAGCATTTAGTGTTCACAAACCTTAAACTGCAGTTTGACAGAGGGCAGCTAACTGCCAAGTATGAATTTGCTCATGCACCTAATGGGGCATTTGAATGCCACCTGCGCCCACCTCACTCCTGCCAAAGTAATAATTCCAGACATATGATATAAACTATAATGCTTCCATCCCCAGTTCTGTTTACTGCGTTTCACAGAATTCAAGCGGCTGCTATAGGGATATCTTTATCCTGGCAGCATCCTACTTTCCCATTGAATTTGACAAGTTATCATCTGTATACTCAAGACTCAAACATTACAATTCTCTTAGGTGTTATCTGGGAGAAGGCCCAATCTGAAACAGCTACTGACCAACTGCAGAGATGCTATTTAAGAAGGCCAAAGGATATGGAGCTAGAAAAAAATGACCTCTCCTTTTTTGCAAGTTAGGCACAATCCTACACATGTTGACTCAGCAAGCAAACCCTACTGTGTACTGTGAGGCTTGCTCCTACATAAGTGTGACTAGAATCAAATCTTGACTCTTGAATATATCTCAAAGCAGGCCTTTCACCCATGTGAAATGATCCCCCTACTGATTTCAAAATTAGCATCTCCGATCAGCAGAACTTGACCAAGCAACAGTTAGGGAATAAACTCCAAATCTAGCTCTGGCCCTCCATCAACTTTGGCACTCCTGGTCCTAATAATGTCATACCGTCAACAGCTCATTCACCTGCATGCTTTCAGCAGATTACATCGGCCAAAAATGTATGCATCTTCCACAATAAACAGCTGCCTCCTACTTGTTCCAGTGTATTCCTGTTTTGTATTCTAGCTGCTCATACCTTAGGCAGGCAACGCATCATACTCATGTCTGCACTCCAGTTATTTGCCATTGTCCATTCTCACATTGGGAAGATAGAAACATCCACCCTGTGGAACCCAATCCAATCACTACTATGTATGGAAAACTAGTCGGCGGGTACTAAATCACATCAGTCCTTGCGTGCACATTCATGCACCTTTTCTTTGCATCTGGATGGTGGTTAGGCTACAGGTTACAACAGCAGCTAGGGCTGAAGGCCCAGCCAGCATTAATTCTGCTGCAATGGTGCTGTCAGTACAAGACTTCCAGGCAGAAGTCCATGGCTCCCCTCTGCAGAAAGAGCAGGAAGCCCCCCCCCCCCAATATAGTACAGCTGGCTTGCCACAATCTGAAGTGAAGTAATACACCTAAGAGCACTTCCCTGCAACACACACAAAGTAGCACCAGAGTCCAGAGTCTAAAATTATCTACATTGCACCACTGCTCTGTTTCCTGCAGTTTAAATCCCCCATGAATCAGGCACACACAAAGCACTTTTTAACCCTTTCCTGCTAAGCACAAACAACAAATTCTTCCCTGATTCTGCCTGGGTCCTTGTATACAAGAGTAAGCAGCCAAAATGCATAAAAGGAGACCTCTGCCAACAGTTTTGCTACTCTTGGGAAGACAGACTTAAGAATCCTTTGCCTGTAGGCCATAGTTTATGTTACATTAAAAGCACTTCCAACATTATTTTCAGAGCAATAAGGAAAACGTATTTTCCAGATGTGCCATGACAGGTTGGATTTACACCATCTTTGGAACTGGTACAAATGTATAATGTATGTGAAGTGTCAATTATTTTTCTGCCATGATTTTGGTTTGTTACTTTTTATGGAAAGAGGATCTTCATCAACAAGATGTGTTCCACTTTGCCAGTTGTGCACTAAAGACACATGCCAGCTGGATGATAGCACTGAAAAGCGGTTGTTTCCACATGACAACCAATTAGATCCAATGCCCATTCAACTGTGTCAAGTTCCATTCCATCCTTTTTCAACACAGCGGTCTCAGGCCTGCAAAACTCCTCATATGACAGCAAGAGGTTATGTTTATTTCATAAAATTTATACACTGGTTGATTGTTTGTTTGGGGGGGACGACTCAAAGTGGATTTTAAATACAGTGGTACCTTGGTTGTCAAACGCCTTGGTTGTCAAACAAATCAGCCCCCAAACGCCACAAACCTGGAAGTGACTGTTCTGGTTTGCGAATGTGCTTTGAAAGCCGAACAACCAACATGGTTTACACAGCTTCCAATTGGCTGCAGGAAGCTCCTGCAGCCAATCAGAAGCCATGCCTTGGTTTTTGAACTGTTCCAGGAGTCAAACGAACTTCCAGAATGGATTAAATTTGAGAACCAAGGTACCACTGTCCATGTACATGGGGCAGAGGGTTGCGTGTCGAGGTCCCCAAGCCACCCCCCAAATAACTCACAACGCACACTTAATTTTTGTTTAAGGTTTTTGGCATAATTTTGGCCACAACTTTATTTAAATACGAAACCGTGAGTGGTTGTTTAGGCATTGGTTAAGACTATCTGTCCCCCCGCCTGGGGACAGAACTGACTTCCGGGCACCACCGAAAGACAGTGCAGGAAAACAAGTCGGGGAGAAATGGAGCTGAGTCACAGACCCACAATTCTCATCCGCATGCTCCCCGAAGGCTTGCCAGCCCTAGTCCCATTCTAGGGATTGGACGAAAAGATGGCAAGCCCCAGGATTCCTTTAACGGAATTCCCTTTCCGCAGCAACCATGGAGGGGCAGGCCCAGCCTATCCTAACCCCTCCTCCACCAATTTATAACCAATGCCTAACCGCAACCTTACAAGTTGTGACAATTTGCTACGCAGTAGGCAAAAACCAAATGGCCCAGCCAATCAGCCAGATGGACAAAATTCCTACCAGGCCCCTGCCCCAATGGCAGACGACCCCATGACAGGCATAGCAAGGTCAATGCAACAACCCCTTACTCAAGGGTGGGTGGGCGGGTGATCCGTTGCACGCAGCAAAGAGAAAGCTCCAGGCTGCGTGCAGAGTATTTAAACATTTTACCCCTCACACCAAAATTGCAACATAACTTTTACCCCAGCAACCCAGTGAACCAATCACTGCCCCAGGCCATCTTTAGAGACCCTGTCTGGTAACAGAGGGGTGGCTCAGCAGACCCCACCGCAACACGTGCTCTCCATGAAGGAGAACACGCTTTCCGTCCATTATCATTAGTTCTTCTCAGACCAATTTGCCACAGACAAGTATTCAGAAGAATTTGACATTTCACTTGGCACTAGTGGAGATAGGAGATGACAACTTGTGTTTTCAATTCTGAAAACCACCTATGGAGGGGACTGAATTGAGAGGGGCACAGGAAGTGTGCACAGATTCTACTGATATAAATGAGTCCGTTTACACCAGCCTTCCTCAGTCAGGTGCACTCCAGATGTTTTGGACAACTTCCATCAGCATGGCCAATGGCAAGTGATGATGGAAGTTGTAGTCCTGCATCTAAAAGCACCAGGTTAGGAAAAGCTGGTATACCTACCAGACATGATTCTTTGTATAGGAAAGGGAAATCTGGCTCAGGAAATAAGTATAATATTTTGTGTTAGCATTTGGTAGGGTTGCCATTCAAACAGTGAAAATCTGGACAGAAAAGTTGTTGCGGTATTCCAGATATGTCTGGGAAATTCCAGCCGTATGGTAACCCTACATTTGGATTGTGATGGTCTTCCCCACCAAAGAGATTTTCAAAGATTAAGTTCAAAATAAACATTTTATGTAATTCAGAAGACACATGCCAGTATTACATACTGTATTTTTTTAACCTAAAAGGAGCTTACAGAAAGGAATTTGTCTGTCCTTTTTTCTCTCTCCCTTTAATTAGCAATATAATTAATTTGAATAGTTCATTCTCAAGGAGGATGTACTGAATTGTGAGCAAACCTAAGTGAATGTTTACTAGATAACATGCATTAAACAAGCCATGAACAATAGCTTCATGAACAATAGCACAAAAACATTATGGAATTCTGCAGTGTGGAGTAATGCAGCTGTCCAAAAATAAAAATAAAAGACTCAAAATTGCTTGAAATTTGGAGTTATCACAATTTAGTAGCCACAAAATAGTGAGGGATGTTGTTTTGTTTGTTACTATGTTATTTATTTCTGTGTTTTTATATTGTAAACCACCTGTGACTCTCATATGAAGGGCAGTACAGTGGTACCTCAGGTTAAGTACTTAATTCGTTCCGGAGATCTGTTCTTAACTTGAAACTGTTCTTAACCTGAAGCACCACTTTAGCTAATGGGGCCTCCTGCTGCCGCCGCGCTGCTGGAGCACGATTTCTGTTCTCATCCTGAAGCAAAGTTCTTAACCCGAAGTACTATTTCTGGGTTAGCAGAGTATGTAACCTGAAGCGTATGTAACCCGAGGTACCACTGTACAGAAATTTAATTGTTATTACTAATAATAAAGTAAGGTTTTCAGTGGCAATCAGGCAAATGGGTACCACTATGGGCACAATTTAAGTATGTGCCAGCAATATACATACATGGTGATGAGCATAATTTTCTTATTTATACCCTGCCCATCTGGCTGGGTTGCCCCATCCACACTGGGTGACTTCCAACACATATAAAAACATAATGGTAGCAATATTCAGGTATTATATCAAGGTTTCTAACCTTTCGTGGCCAGTGGGCACATTTGGAACTTTGATGGCTGCCATGGGAGTGTAGCATAACACAAAATGGTTGCCATGGGAATGTGGGGCAACACAAAATGGCTTCCACACCTAAAGGAGCAGAAAAAGAGATAGGACCACAAATTAGTGTGGGCACATGCAACAGGGAAAAGGTGCCTACATCAGCCAATGCAACATTCAAAAAGAGAAGCTCTGTGTACCTCTTCTTTGTTCAGAACAGAAGAGAGAGTGTCCACTGAATATGCTGGCATCCACTGAAATGTGGGCTTATTTAAGAGAGTGTTTTATGTACGAAAGGGTGAGCCAGTGCAAACAGGAACTGCACAGGAAGAGCAAAGAATCTTTAACACAATGTAGATTTTTGAGGGGATATGTAATTAGACATTTCTCAGGCACCACAGGAGATACCAGCAGGCACCCTGGCACCATGCTGGCGGACCCTACATTAAGTTCTCTGTGCTGAAATAAAGCTGCATGGGGGAAAGGGGGGGTGGACGCCACTGCCAATGTCCTCCTCCCCACCAGCTTCACTTCCCGTTGTGTAAAAGAGGCATCTAAGAACATTCAGCATTTCCAATAGAAGCCTGTGTGCTGATGCATTCAACTGAATGCAGTTTGAAGACTCTTTCAGAGTCAAAGGTGAAGCCACCAGTTACAGGGGAACCCCCATGCCACCCTCAGTGAGTTTGATTTAACACAGATAACCATGCATAAATATGGCTGTAGAGAATATACTGTATTCAATACAGGAACCATTGTCTATCAGATGGGTCAAGCTGAAAGGCTTAGAATGATGCAGTTATAATATAGCACCAAACCTGAGCATGAAGAAGGGTGAGAAATTAGTCTTGAATGTAGCAGCAGGGGTCCATCTGTTCAATTTCTGACGTATTATTTATCATACTAAAGTAGGTCATTTTTAATCATGCTTCTCCATTCCTTCTGGCTCACAGGAATATACATCATGCCTTCTCCTTGCTAAGAAAAAGAAAAAAAATCAATAAAGGCTGAATAAAATTTAAATCGGGACGTTCCAGTTTGACACACACAAGAGAACTGAAGGTCTAAGAGTGCCGGTATTGTCAGTATAAAAGCATTCCTGATAGGTCTGGGCATACAACTCTAAGTGCAACTCTAAGGAGCTCAAGCTGGGATTTTCTGCTTTTGCCATGACCCTGCTGCCCTTTGCTTCTGGCTGAATTTAAAAGCAAACCTACCAGATTTGCACTTTATGAAACAATATGCAAACTAAAAAAAACACCGACCATCGTTCGCAATTCACACCTCAGAATTTTGCAGTGCAGTTCTATGTTCAAGTAACCTGTACAAAAATACATATACTAGGGTAAAGTGTGCATAAAAATGCATATATCAGTGATAAAACATACAAAGGTGTCTTATATTACGGGAAATTGTTTTGCAAACCATGTTTATTAGGCAAAATTTCCTAGAAAAATGTCTGTATTGGGAGAAATTTGCACTAAGTTGGTGATGAATTTCCATGAGCACTTAAAGCAATCTGATGTATCCTATCGCCCAAGGATGCCCTTTCAGGGGCCACGGGATTGCAATCTAAACGGTTTGTGTTTTGTTTTCTGGTTTATGTAGCCCTGACGAAAATAACCTATGTATTTTATTTTATACACCATGAGCTTTGGAATGATTCCTTCTTGTTGAAAATTGTTTAAACAACATCAACATCTCTGGCAACACTTGCTGCAGATGTATGTAGTGACAACAGCTGAAGATCTGAGAAAACCACATTGTATATTCTAAAGCAGGGGTCAGCAAACTTTTTCAGCAGGGGGCCATTCCACTGTCCCTCAGACCTTGTGGGGGGCCAGACTATATTTTTTTTTGGGGGGGGGGGAATGAACGAATTCCTATGCCCCACAAATAACCCAGAGACGCATTTTAAATAAAAGCACACATTCTACTCATGAAAAAACACTCTGATTCCTGTACCATCCACAGGCCGGATTTAGAAGGCGATTGGGCCGGATCTGCCCCCCGGACCTTAGTTTGCCTACCCATGTTCTGATCAATACAAACCAAAACACTACACTTGCAGAGGTTTCCTGTTTTGCTCATCTGAAGGCAAAAGCTCCTTCAACTGCATGTCTGAGCTCATGATGGAGGATGGTGAAGCTATCGCCTTGGTCCAACAAGTGAAACACATGTGTTTACCAGAACTAGAAAGACCTGAGCCAGGAGGCAGAAGCCCCACTAAAATCACCTTCAAAACCACATGTGGATGCACGAGTGGACTGAATCCAGTTCTTTGCCTGAACTGATTATTGATGCTCTTCAAAACCGTTTGATAAGGCCTCATGTTTGCACTCTCATTTTCACCTTTTAGACCCTTGTTCCCACGCCCTGAGAGACACATCCGCAGCACCTGTTTGCGCATGATCTTCCCTCTGCTGTACGGGAGCCACAGTTCATTGCTTATTTACATACACCCCACAGAGATGCTTTCATCAAACCCAAAACACACACACACAACCATGCCTGCTGTTGTGTATCTCCACTTCCACATGCAAAATGGGTGCTATCAGAAACAGGTCTTAAATTCCAAGTCCCTGAGTGGGTCAGCTGCAGTCAAATGCTGGGTTTACATCCAGACGCAGCGGATGTTGCACAGTTCCCCTTTGCTTCTCTTGCCCAAGATGCTCTTGGCAGAAAGATGGGCCTCAGGTGGGCAACCGGGATGAGCACTGATTAGCTGGAAGAGGTAAAGAGATTTATACATCCAATATAACGAAACCTGTATGATCCTGTATAACTTGCCCGTTGCTAATCTCCTTCCAACTGTGCTTTGGCACGGAACACCAAGCCTACTCCAGCCCAGTATGCAGCTCTGTATATTTCTCTGGTAATTAACCTTGACAATTTGAAGTGTACAGCTTCAGCCTGGGTATCATGCTTGTTCCTACCCTCTGCTGCTAAAATAAAATTATATCTTTGCTCATCCATTCATTTTACATGTAGAAAGACAGATGGTTGCTCTGGATTGTTCTGTGCTGCAACAGATGCCGTAATTGAGGGCTGGGAAACTCTGCCAAATTAATTAGATACCCTTACCAATTTGGATGGAAAGGACAGTGCATTACCATTCCGCGCTGTAGAGCTTCTGACACATTGGGGTTATCTTTGTTGAATTTGCAGGTTTCCTTGGGAACTCTTCCCATTGTTCAAGCTGGGACTAGAACTGCTTGCATCACTGAGGGATTTGCCAGGTGCAGAACGGTGAAGACGCAAGAGCAGCAAAACGAAGGAGAAGGGAGAATTGGGGGACAAAAGCAGAAATGTATCCAAGTGTTTATAGAAAAGTCAGTATATCCTCACTTCCATTCACCCATTAAAAAATCAGGTAAGGAAATGGACCATTGTTATTCTAATGAGCAAAATGCCCTTCTCAGTAAGATGGACAGGGAGGATGTGAGGAACTGGGTATTACATGGACCCCTAAGTGTGCACACATGTACAGAGGGTTTCTCTGCAATCCTTAAAAAGGAAGCAACACCCAAAGGTGGCTTCAATTCAGATCCTGTTCAGTGCACGGTGCTATGCAAAAAAATAAATAAACTCAGTCAAAGTGGCCTAATAAGCAAGACCGTCATAGAAGAGAGAGAAAGCTGACTTAGAATGGAGCATCAACTTTTATTTTACCCTCAAACCAAGGGGAGAAGAGGAAACAATAAAGAAAAAAAATGGTCTTCTTGAATAAAAAGAGTCCTGTTGGATCAGATCAATGGCCCAACTAGTCCAGCATCCTCTTCTTGCAGTGGCCAAGCAAACTGCCTCCAACAATGGAAGGACAACATAGTCGTTTTGGTTTGTAGCCATATGCTAGCTCACCCTGCCATCTCTGAGAAACGTATTACTGAAATAATTTTATCAAAGAAAACCAGTTATTTATTAAAATATTTATATGCTGCTGCATCATAAAAAATAATAATAATCACAGGGGTTTACAATATAAAACAAAAACCAGACAGTAAAGCCATAAAAGTTAAAAACAAGTTAAAAGCAATAATAAATAAATAAATAAATACATCTATAGACAATTGTGGGGATGTACTCTTAATGGCCTGCCTAGGGCTAGCAGAATAGAAAAGTTATCAGCAGGTGTTTAAAAGGTGGCACAGAAGGAGCCAATGAGTATCTATTGGCAGAGTCTTCCACAGCTGATAACATGAAAAGCTTGGTTTATCACTGTTGTTGGTTGACAACACCAATTCAGGGAACCATCAGAAAAAGTGCCGATAATTCATGAAACGAAACAACTTTTTTCAAACAAAGACGCAATTCATGTGAGATTGAGAAAGCATTACAACTTGAACCTGGCTTTAAGCATTGCTGAGTTCAAGCTGCATCGATTCAGAATATGACTAGGCCAAGCTGATTCCATTCCACTTTCTAAGAAACAAATACCCCTCTCTTATTATCACTTATTACTCTCGTACGGGACTGCTTTGACACACAGGAGCTGGCAGAAGGGAAATGACACAGCAGTTTGAAGGATAGCTATTGCACTAATGGCAAGACTGGAGGGTTCTCAGCACTGGCATACTTGAACAAGAACTAGTATTAAGGGACAAACTTCACCTATTTCAGGATATGTGTGATTCTTCTTAAAGGCAGCCATGTGGTGAAGGGCCATTTGGATCAGGGCAGGCAATTTTCCAGGGCAAAACTTCTCCCTCCCAGTGCTGCTGTGAGCTGCATTCTTTCATAGTACATGCTATGGCTCTGATCTCAAACACCATGCTTCAAAAAGGTGCGTTTGCTTTTAGGGAAAGGAGGAGACATCGGGAGATCCAGGCATGGAGCTTAGTAGTTTGAGCCAAAGACAGTTGTACACAGGATCATAATGACATGAAGTAGGATACCTAGAATTTTAAGGGAAGGATCCAGGTTTGATGCCCTATGACAAACATTGGAGAGCTACTGCTAGCCACTGTAAGGAACAGTGGGCCAACTCTGGATGGAGAAGTTTCCTATGCTTAGGCCGTGGCGGGTCTACTTATTACCAGTGCCACTTAACTCAAAACAATACGTGGCAATGTTATGTGTGAAGACTTCCAGATGGGTCCCACCAGTTGTTTTGACTGCTTTCATACCTCTAGCAGCTACTACTAGGAGTGCCTGGTGGAGAATGTCTACATGAAGTGGGTCCAATTTGCTGCATATAAAACCTTCATGGGAACCAGTCACCATACAGAGGTTGTTTCAAGTGGTGCTCAAGAGTCAGAGAACGGTGGCTGATGATGTTTATAGGCACAATATGTGCTTCCGCCAAAGCTTTCTGTTTTCCACAGACTAATGACTTATTGGTCCAAAATGCCTTTAACTATTAGCATCAGATGCATGCTTCTACAACAGAGTATAGTGTCATTTTAATAAATCTCCTCACATAAGAAAGTACATTTTAGGCAAGTTTGGGTCATTTTGTCTCAAGTTCTTTGCAGGGCTTTTTTCCCCCTCATAGAAAGGGACTAGAAAGGGTGCAAGAGAAACTTAATAGCAAGAGACAGCCCTGTCACAAAAATTAGTCACTCTGCAAGGGTGGTTTTCTCCCCATTCTGTCGCCATGCCAGATAGATATAGAAAACAGCATGTAAGAAGAATTTGGTCAAACTTTTGACTGTTGTAACTTTAGGTTAGCTTTTTTTCTAGTAAGTTTCATACGGGTTTTTGAAGCCCTATGTTTAAACTACCCTATCAAATTTGCGGTGTTTCTTAGAATGGGGAGAAAGAACATAAATGATTGTGTCTTGTAGGAATGTAGGACTGCTCAAGTCGTGGAAAGCATGTCATGGAGAAAGCAACGGAAGGTTTTTGTGTGCACCTAGAAGGAGCCTAAGGTTGTTCACCTCAAGATAGATTTCTGCCTCTGTTTTCTTGTGGTGTAGTCACCCGGATCATGGCCCAGCTGAGGGTGAACACCAGTAACTGACAAAGGTACATATATTAATAGAGTGGTACCTCGGGTTACATACGCTTCAGGTTACAGACTCCGCCAACCCAGAAATAGTACCTCGGGTTAAGAACTTTGCTTCAGGATGAGAACAGAAACCGTGCTCCAGCGGCGCGGCGGCAGCAGGAGGCCCCATTAGCTAAAGTGGTCTTCAGGTTAAGAACAGTTTCAGGTTAAGAACAGACCTCCAGAACGAATTAAGTTCTTAACCTGAGGTACCACTGTATAGCAGAGAAAAGTTTAAGATTGCTCTGTCAACTAAAAATTGCCATTCTAATTTCATTGTTCTCTGGTCATGCCTCTGTGTCAGATTTTTACCAACATTCCATCACGTTGGGGGGTGGGGTGAGGGAGAGTGAGTGTTTTCTTGTTATTGAGCTTTATTCAAAGCTATACTTAAAAGCCTTTAATACAGACACAAGAGAGCTTGCTAATACACAATTCAACTGAAAGGGAACCAATTTAAAGGAATGAACATGTGCATTGCTACTGCTTATTCCTCCTCCCCATCACTTATAAATGCTGATATATTTGTGCAGAGGCTTACACTGCCGTGTTTGCAGATCACTCAGCATGCCAGACTATAAATTCATTATGTACACCATTTGCCACAATGATTTTGCAGGGGCAAAAAATTGTTTGCATAAACTTTTCTGGTCCAGGTTATTTCTTTGTGGTCCTGAGCTGTAGTTGCCCATATAAAAGTTGCCAGAGGTTCTGCTCTTGTCCAAACCCACTTCATTTTGCTCTAACATTGAAGATAAACTGTGTAAAACTGTAGATGAAGTTATGTGCTCTACAATGATCATAAAAGCATGAACATTTCTTTGATTGTAGGGTTGTCAGTCTCTACTACCATATGTTTACTGGTCTCATGAGGCAAAAAACAGACAACAGATTCACAATTAGGTGGAAACTTTTCCTTAAAATATTTAAAACTGGAGAAGAATAGTTATTACTAACTAAAACAATTACACTCATGAGAAGGGTTGCTACTTGAGGGTCAATTTCCAAATCTATAGTTCCATATGCTCCGCATATTCCGTTTGAGATAGAACAGCACTTGGGGAAGCGTTAAATCAGCTGGATAAATTATTGCTGAATTTCACTTGAGTGTACATAGCTTCTGCTTCTCTTTTCTTTGCTTAATTCCTCAGCACTAAAGTGTATTTGTGCTGACATATTTTGCAAAATGAAAATGTAGGATACATTCTCCACAGCCAGGGCCGGATTTACGTATAAGCTAAACAAGTTTGCTTCCTTCCTTCCTTCCTTCCTCCCTTCCTCCCTCCCTCATAGCATACATGATGCTGCTTTCATCATCAGCTGGCTCCACAACCATCCACAATTGCTCTGCTTATGATCTGGCCTGGAATCTTATGCTGGAATAATCATATGCCACATGATCTATGATATCATACATTACAAATGCACCACAGTTTGCTATGCCCTTCATTGTAAGGAAACCACACCTGAGGTATGTGCTGCCACCCCTGAAACCTCTCACCACTCAGGGACTGTGGGTGTAGGAATGCTTCTTTGTGGGCATTCTAGGTGTAGTCTAAAACAACACCTAACAGAGCTCAACTGGCATGTCCTTTTCCACATTCCAGGTTTAGACTATAACTTAACGCAAATACTGCCAATGGCTACAACATCAGCCAACTTCACATCCTTGCTTTGTTTATCTTCTAGTATGATGAACACTTTTGGATAATGTAAAACCTTGTGCACTATTTTGTAACATTTTGGGTAGCAAATAATAATGGCATTGCTCTAATGTGAATTTTGGAATTTCTTTGGTGGTTGGTTACAGTCATATTAAAACAAACATAAATAAAAAAACCAACGACTTGAAAATATTTCCCTGCATATCTCTAGGGCTTCCCCATCCTCTGCTTCCATCGACAGGGACCCATGTCTCCTCTTCCCTGGGCCTATTTGGTGTCCAATGCATCTGCACATGACAGCCACTCTGTAACATCCCTTGGGTGAGGTCAATATGAAGAATGAGCTTACCTATCGTTTGTAGTCCACCCCTTGGTTCTGATCTTCAGGGAGTACTCAGGAGACTCTGGTACCTTTGCACAAACACAAGCTTTTGAGGAACCATGTGACACAGTGCCTCAGCTCTAAGGCCTGCACCAAACGAAAGAAAAAGAGAAACCTCTCAAAAACTAACAGTCCCTCTTAAAGCTCTAACACATCCACACGGTATATTTAAAGCACTATGGTACTACTTTAAACCATCATGGCTTCCCCCCAAGAATCCCAGGAGTTTGTGAAGAGTACTGAGAGTTTTTAAGGGACCCCTGTTCCCCCAGGCCAGCCCAAGAAACCTTGGCACCTGAGCCGAACCAACAAATGTGTACCCCTATCCCCAGCCTGGCCATGCAACCTGCCATTTTGTACAGCACCATGCACTCACCAGTCCTCGGTCAGCATGGCTAATGGTCAGGGATGAGATGACACTGAAAAGTCAGTGTGGTGTAATGGTTAGAGTGGCAGACTAGGGTCTGGGAGACCAGAGTTCAAATCCCCACTCATTTTAATGTTTGATGTATTATTATGTTTTTATACATGTTGGAAGCCAGAGTAGCTGGGATAACCTAGTCATATGGGTAGGGTGTAAATAAAGGAGTTGTTATGGAATAGGATGTCCCCATTTTCATTGGATAAATGCTGGAGGGTATGCTAGCTCTGTACTCCCAAGCCCCTCAGGAAGAAATTGCTACCCTCATTTTATTCCATAAAATACGGTACATTTGTCAAAAAGTAAAACCCTTTCCTCACCACTTTTTAAGAATTCTGGTTACATAACAGGTGTTTGTGTGAAGTGTGAAGTGTGAAGGAGTAACAGATAAATATGTGGCAAATGTAGGAAGTGTCGTATGGAAATTCCTGCTTTTGTTTTATCCTATACTCTGCTCTGGATAAGGTGGATCTAATTTTTATGAGTGCTGAATGAATACGCTGTCTTCTGCTTCAGTGCAGGGAATCTCTTTCCCCCCCTGCTAGTTAAAGACTTCTTGCACTTTAAATAAATCAGAGTAACTGCATAGGTTTGATGTGCAAGATTTTCTGTGAAATATTTATTTGGTGGGTAGCAGAAGAGAATTAGGGGAACATGTTAAGTGGATGGGTTTTTATACTGAAACGTCCTTTTTTTAAAAAAGGTACCGTGAAGTGAGAGTGCTTGAAGTTTTAAAGATTCTGAAATATTTGATAAGGCTCTCAAGAACTTGCAACCATTATATTAATCTTTGTTATCAGTGGCACTTAGGTTCTCCTCCATTCACTCAATGAGTATCTTAAACAAACAGGTTTTGGCAGGGGACAAAACCAAAGCAAAAGCGTCAGACACATTTGGTGGTGCGGAGCATGATCAATGTAACCCAGCCAAGTGAAGCACTTTAACACCCCATTGATTTCAGTGGAAAAGTTAAGTACGTACTTAAATCTCTCTCCCCCCTCCCTTTGAAATCGAAAGAGTTCATCTCTGCCTGGTTTCTGCCCAAAAAGGTTTGTTTAATTCTTTTCTTCACTGAGGTAAGAGCTGTTGATGCAATTGAACTTAACTGATGTGGCTTGTATTAAATAAACACAATCCCCTTAAAACAGAATGGCTCCATCTCATTACAAGCACTTACATTTATCACAGATTCAATACCTACCTTGCCCACATAGTCTAAATGATATCAAGCTGGTTACTGCTTCATTATCCAATAGGCACACTATGCATGGGCTTAGGGCGGAGAGACAGAGAGAGATTGATTTTGGAAAGAATTTGACATTTGATTTTTTTTTAAAAAAGCATCAAAGTAGATATCAAGGGAGAAGTCAGAAATTTGTTGGACTTGCTTACTAAACTTGCTTACACACTACATTTTTCTGTTCTCTGTTTATTACTTATCCCCATCTAAATTAGTGGGCATCTAGCGCATGTTGCATAGGGATGCGGGTGGCGCTGTGGGTTAAACCACAGAGCCTAGGACTTGCCGATCAGAAGGTCGGCGGTTCAAATCCCCGTGACGGGGTGAGTTCCCGTTGCTTGGTCCCTGCTCCTGCCTACCTAGCAGTTGGAAAGCACGTCAAAGTGCAAGTAGATAAATAGGTACTGCTCTGGCGGAAAGGTAAACGGCGTTTCCGTGCGCTGCTCTGGTTCGCCAGAAGTGGCTTAGTCATGCTGGCCACATGACCCAGAAGCTGTACGCCGGCTCCCTCGGCCAATAAAGCGAGATGAGCACCACAACCCCAGAGCCGGTCACAACTGGACCTAATGGTCAGGGGTCCCTTTACCTTTACCTTTAGTGCATGTTGCACATGATATATATGGATGTGCATTTCAGAATACATGTAAGTTTTGTGTCATTAAAAAAAAGTAACATTTCATACTATGACTTAGTATTGTTTTTATTTTGAATTACATTTAGGGAGGCCCCATGTTTTTAGTGCTTACAGCTTCTAAAGGTCTCAATCCAGCTCTGCAGG